CTTAACGCCAACACCCAGGCACACATCAACCGCTTCCTCCTTGGTCCACTGTAAACCCCTCTCTTGCCAACCCTTTTCCAGGTGTCTCTCCTCTCGCTCCACCACGCCATACCCCTCAAGGGCGGCACCCCCCTCAACGCCAACACCCAGGCGCGCATCAACCGCTTCCCGGGACTAGCCAGCATGAAGCAGGCCGGGCGGGTTTGCAGCAGCGAGGTGCACCAGACTGGCGACGCCGCCGCCGCTGCTGTGGATGCTGCGGCTGTTGGAGTGCCGCGGGGGTCGGTGGAGAGCTTGGAGGTGGCTGAGGGCGCTCGGCTTGCTCGAGGATGCCCCATCACAAGGAATAGAGAGGTGAGCTTCAAGCGCATGTTGGCCTGATTCTGCTGCTGCTGCGGCTGCCGCCGCCGCTGCTGCTGCTGCTGGGGTGCCTCGGTTCGGTGGAGAGCTTGGAGGTGGCTTAGGGTGCTAGGCTCGCTCGGGGGTGCCCGGTTGCACGGAATTGAGAGGTGCGTTGCGGTTGGGAATGGAAAATTCGTGTGGGGCAGAGGTGATTTTTGAGTCGACTCAAAAGTCACCTCTTTTGAGTCGACTCAAAAGTCACCTCGTGTGGGGCAGGGGTGGGTGGTAACACGACCGCTGCTGCTGCTGCTGCTGCTGCTGTCGACGGTGCTGCTGCTGGGGAGGCCCGGGGGTCGGTAGTGAGCCCAGAGGTGGCTGAGGGTGCTAGGTGTGCCTGGGGGTGCCTGATTGCACGGAATAGAGAGGCGAGCTCGGTATAAGGGTGGTGGGGGGAGCGTACCTGCATGAAGGGGGGGTATCAGGTGCCTTTAGGGTCGGCAGAGAGTCTCGAGATGGCTGAGGGTGCTAGGCTCTCTGGGGGGTGCTCCAGTGAGCGGAATAGGGAGGAGGGCTGCTGTTGGGGGGAAGGCGACTGATCGAGGAGCCTATTTTCAAGGCGCCTCAAAAGAAGGGAGGTGGGCTGCTGTTGGGGAGGAGGCGACTGCATGATTGAACAAGATGCGGCATGTCTTGGGGGCCGGTGAGAGCCCACAGGTGGTGGCTTCTTTTTTCTTTTTTCTTTTTTTTCTCTCTCTCTCCAAGGACCAACGCAGTAGGGAGGTGGTTTGCTGTTGGGTGGGAGGACACTCCATGATTGAAACAGAAGTAGCATGCGTCAGGGGCTGGTGGGGAGTCCTGACATGGCTGGTGTGGCATAGCCAGTGCATTGGCTATAGAGCGTCCTGTTGGAAGGAGCTGAGGCGTGAGTTTCTCTTGGGGGGGAAGGGTGCCTGTCTACGGATCCAAGTGGTTCCCTTGGGGTCGGTGGGGAGTATCAAAAAGGTGCTTCATTGGCTGGGGGGTCGGACTGGGCGGAATAGAGGGGGTACTGATGTAGGGGGCGGCAGGGGACTGGAGGGGACTGCGCACTGGAGAAGGGAGGAGGGGAAAGTGGGTGTGTCGGTAGTCGGGTGGAATTCTCGGAGGGTGATTATGGTGCTGCTTTGGAAGGAGGCTTCCCTGCTGTGAGGAACCAAGAGGAGCCGAGAGGAGCCGAGAGGAGCCGAGAGGAACCGAGAGGAGCCGAGGGGAACCGAGAGGAACCGAGAGGAGCCGAGAGGAGCCGAGAGGAGCCGAGAGGAGCCGAGAGGAGCCGAGAGGTGAGCTGAAGCAGCAACAATATCATCCTCTCACGATTCCATTTTTGAGGCGCCTCAAAATCCTCTGAAAATCCACTCGCCTGCGTTTAGCGGAGCGGTTGAAGGATTCTCTTGCCAAGCCTGCCATGCCATGCCATGCCATGCCGTGCCATGCCATGCCATGCCATGCCGTGCCATGCTCCTCTTCCCTCTCCGCTCTGCTCCCTCCTTGCGCATTTGTTTTTGGTTCCCTCCATGCCACGGTGCCACCTCGTTGTAACCTCCTTCCCTCCTTCCCTCCTTCCCTCCTTCCCTCCTTCCCTCCTTCCCTCCTTCCCTCCTTCCCTCCTTCCCTCCTTCCCTCCTTCCCTCCTTCCCTCCTCCCCTCCTTCCCTCCTTCCCTCCTTCCATCCTTCCTTGGCTGTATGAACAACGTGTGTGTGCTTGCAGTGTGCCATTTCCTTCACGCCATGACAACTCGCCCGGAGAAACAGCTGAAGCTTATGCCATGCAAGCATGCGTCGCTCTGGTCTGGCGCGCGGTTAAAATAGCAAAACTTCCCGTCCCAAAGAAAAAGCAAACTTCTCTTCCACTTCGTGACCTGTGGGAGTGAGTGCATGCGAGAGGGTTTGAGGAGTGGCCCATGGGACCGGAGGGCAGCAGCAGGAGGGCTTGCAGGGATACGCTCAGAGCACAAGGCACTGCTTACAGCTCATCGGTCCGCACCGCACCACATGTTATGGGGTGCCTTAGGGGCTTTCTTCTGTGGTGCACTGCACCTGCTATGGCGCTCTTGTGTGATCCGGCAGCGCACAAAACATACCCTTGTCTCTAGTCTAGACCCCTCTCCTATTCTCTAGCGTTTCGACCAAGCTTGAACCTCGTTATTCTCTTCCTCTGTTTTGCATGCAATACAATCAATTCTTTCCCCCCTGTGCCTCTCCATGGGCGTACAGTCTACAGTCCATTTCAATGGTTCGTTGTAAACGTGGTGCATAAACACAACAACTCCTTACTTATGATGTTGCTAAAGTTCCTGTCATCTTTTCCCACCATGTTGGTTCTGTAACAGCACTTGATGGCTTATTATACCCATTTGTAGCCCACAACTCCGGCCTGAAGCGGCAACCATAACAAGAGCAAATGTGTTGCTAACCATAACAAGAGTAAATGTGTTGCTAACCATAACAAGAGCAAATGTGTTGCGAACCATAACAAGAGTAAATGTGTTGCTAACCATAACAAGAGCAAATGTGTTGCTAACCATAACAGGCCACAGTGAACAACGTGTTGCTAACCATAACAAGAGCAGTTAACGGCTCAAAGGCCTGCCAAAGGGGTGTTCATTTCTCCTGAGCGTTTCAGTGGTTTGTTGGGGGGGGGAAACGATTGGGGGAGGGGAAGCAAACGGGGTAAGATGGAACCTTGTTTCTCTGTGAGACACTGCAGAATGAGTGTGAGAAGCATACCGAGCGAGAAGGGTGGTGGAGGAAGACGACATGTCTTGAGTCAGGGGGAAGGCAGGGGGAGGGGGGGACAGGGGGAAGGCATGGGGGACAGGGGGAAGGCAGGGAGGCGGGTCAGAGGAGAGGAGAGAAGGGGGCGAGGGGGGGAGGAAGGCAGGGGTGACAGGGCAGAGGGGAGAGCGAGATATCATGTGACGGGACCAAGGACAGGACAAGACCTAAAACCAAATCCCCGATTCCAAGTTGCGTGAGATGTGGCCGCAAAGTTGAGGTGGCGCTCCGCCGGTTAGTACTGTAAGGTGCATCACGTTCTAACGCGTTTTCAGGCGCTTCGAGAATCACGCAGTCACAGTGTTGTTTTGCGGCCAGCAACCTCAACTTGCAGTGGTCGGTGGCGGTGTCGGTGCTAGTGTAATCATGATACGGTGTCGGCGCGCATGATACAACGCATTCGGTCGTTCCACGTAGAGAAACGCCGATCTAGGCGTCTGTCCGTGCTTCTGAGTGGAGTAGCTCTTGGATTTACTCCGTGGAGGCTGTTCCTGCTCTAGTTGTAGTTCATTTGCGGCCGGGGAGGGTTGACAGAGGAAGGAACGAGGTCCGCCTGACGAATCCGTCAGTAACGGCGGCAACATTGTGCATTGGCTTGTTATTTCGGCCGTTTTTTTTCGGTCCAATCGCCACGTGTTTCCAGCACCTGAAACGAGGGTACTGTGCTGTACTGTGATGTGCTAGTGCGCCGCTGATCGAGTTGTCAAGACGTTCGCACACGACGGCAGTAGGTTTTTGTGCGTGCTGTGCTGTGCTGCTGAGTGGGAGAGTCGAATCTCCAATTCTGGCCGAAATTTGACGACAGTGCTCTGTACAAAGCGCATGTTCGACATCGAACCGCGCATCTCATTTCTCCCACCGTGTGCTCCGCTTCGCGCTGTCCACATGCAGGCTATGTCCTCAGCTGCTGTCAAAATGTCTAGATCCAGCTGGCATGCCTGGTGTCGGGACGCGTCAGCTTTGGTTGGTCCTCCAGTTCAGGTGGCAGCAAGTCTTATCTTGCCATGTGGAGAAGAAAATTGTAACATTTTGTACCTTCGTGCCATATGGTACATTCGTTACTCATCGTTGCCAGTCTGAACCTAGAAGCTGGTAACTTACGGTACCCCCAGCATATCTGGCAGCACTGCGTCCCACCAGCTGTGGCAGCATTTCAGGCTGCGCAGCTTATCCTTGCAGCTTCAAGACTTTGTCCGCCACTGATCACCTATAACCTGCATTTGGACGGTGGAGGCTCGGAATAAGTGCTCGATGCGTTCACATCGAGAGTGGTTATCTGCACATGGACTTCACGTTTCACGGCTCGATCACGAACATTGCATATAGCACATGAAAGAATCCCCTCTTCTACACGTCTCCTCTATTCAGTGTAGAGTGTGGTGTACACCACCCAAACTCCAGATCTAATCAAGCGCGCGGCTCGGATCCCGAACCGCGATTCCGATGTGCAATTTTCGGCGAGTGAGACATTTTGTGGTTCGACCTCCCCCCCCACCCCAACCCCCCACTGCACCAAGCAGCGTGCCAAGCAGGATCATCGCATCATAAAACCCAGCTTGCATTCTAACTTCCATAATTCAACTGTCCGAGTGTCCATCTGAGTCACTCTTCTCTGAGTCACTCTCTTCGCTGTTATTTTTGTCTACCCACCTGTTTAGCCAACAATGGCTCCGCTCGCTCGTCAAGCTATTCTTCTGCTCGTGGCCCTGTCCCTGGCCACGTCCGCCACTGCCGTCATCAGTCCCTTCTGGGGCGGAGCGCAGCCTCTCGAACCGGTGAGTGGAGCAATTAACACGCAACTCGTGTCACGCTCCCTTACATCCACATCACTCTGCCGCCACACCCCACACCACCAATCGACTTCGCCAGTTGTTTTTATCTCGGATCTGAAATTGCGGCACATTCACGTCCTCAAAAACTCCCAATATGTCGCCCACTCGTAGGAGCAGTTCTCAGGTGATTTTTAAGTCGACTTAAAAAACTCCCAATATGTCACCCATTCCGAATGCCAGTTCTCGGATCCCTTCGATCCGCTTCGGCATGCCATCCTCTTACCACCGTCTTTCATCACATTCCTCGCATTCCTCACATTCCTTTCTTCACTTCAACGTGTTATCCTCCTGTCACATTGCCATCGTCTCTCGTCTCTTCCCATCCATCATCCACCGTCCAGGTGGCCAAGACGCTCATCGCGCAGTGGAACGCCGCGGCCAAGAAAAAGCCCGCGCTGCTGGTCGGCTCGTACGACCCCTCCGGTTCCGGAAACGGCATCAAGGGCTTCTACAACGGCACCTACCTCATCGGCGCCGCGTCCGAGCCCATCACCACCGCTTCGGAATCCGGGCAGGCTGCGAAGATCACTATTCCGGTCCTGGTGGCCGCATACAATTTCTTCGTGCACGGGCCCGGCACTGTCATCCTTAGCGTCGCTGAGTCCTACAGCATCTACAGCGGCGCCACCACCGACTGGAGCGGCGTCCCCGGCGCCAAGGGCAAGATCACCGGCCCGATCACCCGCTACGCGCGCTCCGACAAGGTCGGCACCACGGCGATTATCCAGCAGCTCTGGACCAAGGCGGGCACCGCCTACGCCGGCGGCAAGCAGGACGGCTCGCCGTTAACTTTCTCCGGGCTGCTGACGGTTGCGTCGAACACGGCCATGTGCAATGCGGTGGTCGCCAAGGTCGGCGCGATCGGGTACGCGCACGTGAGCGCGTGCGCTGCGCAGGTGAAGAAATTCGGCGCGAAGAAGCTGATCGCGGAGACTCTCCTCAAGAACGCGCTCGGGCAGGCGCTCAATTCCAAGACCTGGATCGCCACCAACGCGCTCGTCGGCGCGCCGCCCGCCCCCGACGCGTCGTGGGACAGCATCGATCAGATCTGGAAGGCGGTCAGCAAGGCGCCCGCTGCCGCGTCCATGCAGTACGTGTTTGTGAAGAAGGTGCTTCCCAAGGCCGGCGGAGCTGTGGCGAAGCAGTTTCTGATCACCGCGTTGCCCAAGTTCAAGGGCCTGGCCGGCGCGAACGGGTTCAACGTGGTGCCCCCGGCGTGGTTCAACCCGTCCAAGAACGCCGCCTCCGGCATCACCGTGTCTGCCTCGTAGAGCGGGGGCGGGAGGCGCGCGGGGAGAGGCGCACTGCGAGGGGCGACGAGGGAAGGCGAGAGGCGCAGTACGGAGGGAGACGGAGGGAGACGAGGGGAGGGGTGAGGCGCAAGAAAGACGCGCGACGAGGGCGAGTGGTGGAGGCGGTTAGATCGTGGTGCGTGCATCAGGGCGTGGATAGTTAGTATGACCGGGGAATAGTTGGGAGTGGTGATGTGCGGGAATGTGCGGGCGTTTCAGTAGGGTGTTGGAGGGGTGCAGGAAGGAAGAGGGATGGGTAGGAGGCCGGCTCACTGCGGGAATGTGCGGGGGATTCAGTAGGAGGCAGGAGAGCAGGGGGTGGGGGTGCAGGAAGGAAGAGGGATGGGTAGGAGGCTGGCTTACTTGTGAGCTTGTTTCTTTTGCCTGTCCATATATATGTAATATCGGACGATTCTTGCACCATTTTCTGTTCGTACGACGTGCATGTTGTCAACTTGGGAGCGCAGAAAGTTCAGGCCAAGTTTAATTGAGCTGTGAGCAGGCCATATTCTGTTCGTACGACCTCTGCATGTCCCTCAACTCTCCTTCCCCTCTTCACTCAAGCAAACACACTCGCGCTCCCTGCTTCTCAAACACTTTCCTCGTTCGGGGCAATTGCTCCCCCTCAATACTCTCGAATTCCCCTCGTCTCTCTCCCTCGACCTTTCCCCACACCTCACGCTAATCCAAATCATTAGTTACTCCCTTCACCCCATCACGTGCTTGTCCCGCCTGTTGGCCCAGCCCGCTACCGACTGGGTTAAAAGGGCATGTTTTTAGTGGTGGGTAGCGCATCCATTACCCCCCAGGACGGACCTGTAGCCCTCCCACACTCAACTAGGACGATCCCAGTGCCCCACCAACAATCTCCCCCTCACTGGGGTCGTCAGGGCACCCGGCGCCTCTCCTGCGCACACTGGGATTCGAACCCTGGACCTTCCAGGCTCTGATACCACTGATGGCCCAGCCCACTACCGACTGGGTTAAAAGGGCATGTTTTTAGTGATGGGTAGCGCACCCATTACCCCCCAGGACGGACCTGTAGCCCTCCCACACTCAACTAGGACGATCCCAGTGCCCCACCAACACCGCCCCATCACCCTCCTCCCTGCATGCGCTTCCCTGGCACTCTCCCCCTCAGTTGCATTTCCCCCTTTGGCCAACCTCTCCCCAGTATTCTCTCTTCTGTCTTCTAAGGTCCGTTCATAAGCTTGATGGGCTGAGGCCCAGTTCTTATCCCAACAGAATGTACCAGACTCTTTCTATTGCGAGCAGGAAAGGATACATCATATGACATGGAATGGCTGACGCGTGTGTCAACTTATACATATTATCTATGTAGAAGTTATAGGCTAGACTGAGGTATGCTTCTAGTGAGTACAACCAACTAGTATTTGTTCTAGGTTTCCACCTCTAGTAATCATTCGTTTCTACGTTAACATGGTATCACGCTTAGGTTAGGATCCCCCCGCCTACCGCTTCCGCCCGTCGCGCCTCCTAGGCCCCGTCGCGCCCCCTAGGCCCCGTCGCGCCCCCCCTGGGCCCCGTCGTGCCCGCTGGGCCCCGTCGCGCCTCCTAGGCCCCGTCGCGCTCCCCCTGGGCCCCGTCGCGCCCGCTGGGTCCCGTCGCGACCCCTAGGCCCTAACGCGCCCCCGCTGGGCCCCGTTGCGCCTCCTAGGCCCCGTCGCGCCCCCCATGGGCCCCGTCGAGCCCGCTGGGCCCCGTTGCGCCTCCTAAGCCCCGTCGCGTCCCCCCCCTCTGGGCCCCGTCGCGCCCGTTCGGCCCCGTCGCGCCCCTCCTAGGCCCCGTCGCGCCCGCTGGGCCCCTTCGCGCTTCCTAGGCCCCGTCGCGCCTGCTAGGCCCCGTCGCGCCCCCCCTGGGCCCCGTCGCGCCCGTTAGGCCCCGTCGCGGCCCCCCTGGGCCCCGTCGTGCCCGCTGGTCCCCGTCGCGCCTCCTCGGCCCCGTCGCGCCCCCCCTGGGCCCCGTCGTGCCCGCTGGGCCCCGTCGCGCCCCTTAGGCCCCGTCGCGCCCGCTGGCCCCTGTCGCGCCTGCTGTTAGCGCTCGCCCGCCTGGCCTCCTCCTAGTGCCGCTCGGCCTCCTCCTAGTGCCGCCCGGCCTCCTCCTAGTGCCGCCCGGCCCCTTCCTAGCGCCGCCCGGCCTCTCCTCAGCGCTGCCCGGCCCCTCCTCGTGCCCGACCGGCCCCAGCAGCACCAGCCTGGCCCCTCCCAGCACCAGCCCGGCCCCAGAGCACCTGCCCGCCTCCCCTGCTCGGCCTGCCGTGTCCTCTCGGGCCCTGTGTCTTCTGCTTGCCTGCGCTGGGACACCTAGCTGCTGCCCTACTGGAGAGTGCTGCCGCCGTGTCCCCGCGCCGCTGTGCTCCTGTGCCGCTGAGGAGCTGTGCTGCTGTGCCGCTGTGTCGCTGAGGAGCTGTGCCGCTGACCCTGCACGATGGCTGACTTTGTGCTCCGCCTGGACGCTGAGGGCCACGCGGTTGACTTCGCCGCCTGGCTCTCCGATCTTCGCCGCCAGCTTACAGGTCAGCGCCAGGATGGCCACTCTCTGGTTGTCCATGCTGATGGCTTGCTCCCCCGTCCCCCTGCACCTACTCCCCTCCCTGCTGACCCCTCCTCTGATGACCGTGAGGCTTTCTCTACTGCTGCGCTGGCCTGTGCGGTCTGGGACTCACGCGATGCAGTAGCTCAGGTTGCTATTAGTCACGCCCTCCCTGTGTCTGAGCGCTCGCGTTTTGCTACTGTTGAAACGGCCAAAGCTTATTTAGACGCCGTTATTGCTCGCTATTCCACCCCTGCCTCCGCTTCTGCTGGCCGCTTGCTCTTTCCGATGCTGTTCCCAGACCTGGCTGCCTTCCCTACTGTCGCAGATTTTGCCACTCATTTGCGTGCCCTAGAGACTCGCTATCGCACTGCCAGCACTGCTGCCCAGCTCACTGCGCTCCCCCCTCCTTTTTGCATGACGCTCTATTTTATCGCTATGCGCCTGCCAGACCGCCTCGCTAGTGCTCGCGACCACTTTCTTAGCCAGCACCCGGGTGACCTCACCCTGACCGCCTTTGTCGACACCCTCACTGAGATCGAGACTCGCCAGCGCACTATCGCTCAGTCGAGCGGTGCGCCGGCAGTCTCTATCTTTCACGGCTGTGCCCCATCCCAGTGCACGTTCACTGACGTTTCGGCTGCGGTCGCCACGGCGACCCCTCTTACCGAGACGGCTGCTGCTGTCCACCCGCAGCAGCGCTCGCGTCGCGGTGGCCGTGGCCGCCAGGGAGGTAGGGGTGGTGACGCAGGTGGTAGTGGTCGTGGTGGTGGTGACGGTAGTCCGCCTGAGGGGACTACCACCGGTGGGCAGGAGCAGCAGCCCCAGCAGCAGCAGGACCAGCCCCAGCCGCAGCCGCCGTCCCAGCAGCACCCGCCGCCGCCGTGGGCTCGTCTCCCGCCTGGTTGGCCCGGCACCTCCGGAGGCGGTGGCCGTGGTGGCGGCCCGCGCAGCTTGGCGTCTACCAGCGGCTCCAGTGCTGTGACCTGCCAGTACCAGCTTCAGACCGGGCCTCTCCGCGGCACTCTGTGCCGCCGCCCGCACCCGACCGCCCGCTGTTTCCGCCGCCTCGACGATCTTTTTCGTCGTCGCTTTGGCCCGGCCCCGGACCTCCCTGACTGGCACAGCCTGCTCCGCCAGGGCGTGCCGATCTTTGAGTTAGACATGGATCAGATAGGTGCTGCTTTGCATGCTTTGTATGCTGACGCTTCTAGTGTTGCTGGATCTTACTACCCTGTGTGCTCTAGTTTAGGTGTTTCACCCTTGTGTAGCTTAGCTTCCCCTGCTGCGACAGGCGTAGGACTGCCTAGGTTGCCTAGTCTAGTCGCTGCACCGGCTCCGTCCCCGGCCTCCGCCACTGCGTCGCTGTCCTTCACTCTCGACTCTGGTGCTTCTGCCTGCTTCTTCCGCGACCGTTCCACGCTCACGCCGCTTGCTGCACCTGCTGTTGTCTCTCTCGCTGACCCCTCTGCGGGTCCGGTCGTCGCGCGCAGTTCTACGTCCCTTCCCTGTCCGGCAGTTCCCTCGGGCTCCCTTACTGGCCTCCACGTTCCCTCGTTCTCCAGGAACCTGGTTGGTGTCGGCTGTCTTCAGGACCTCGGCGTCACCACCACGTTCCCCGGGCATGAGCGGTTCGCTGTCTGTTCTGAGGCTGTCTCAGGTTCCCCCCTTGCGACGTTCCCCCGGGACCCGGTGTCCGGTCTGTTTACCCTACACACCGCTTCCCCCCCGGTTGGTGCGTCCTCCCAGGTCGCTGCAGCTTGCTCGTGTCGGTCCCTCACTCACCCCTCCCTTCTCTGGCACCACCGCTTAGGTCACCCTGCTCTCCCGCGTCTGCGTCACATGTCCCAGCACGGTCTTGTCTTAGGTCTCCCCGCGTCGCTCCCTGCCCTTCCTCCCTCGACTGCGCCATTGTGCACGCCTTGCGTCGAGGGTCGGCTCCGCCGTGCTCCTCACTCCTCCTCGCTGCGTCCTGCTACTGCCCCCCTTCAGACCCTGCACTTGGACGTTTGGGGCCCTGCCCCCGTCCCCGGACCGCGCGGTGAGCGCTACTTCCTTGTGCTTGTCGACGACTACACGCGCTACACCATGGTGTTTCCCCTGGAGCGGAAGGCCGACGTGCCCGACGTTCTTCTCCCGTGGGTTGTGGCTGCGCGTCTCCACCGCGGTCTCCCCGTGTTGTGTCTCCACTCCGACCGTGGCGGCGAGTTCGCCTCTGGTCGGCTTGGACAGTTCTGTCGTGCGGAGGGCATCACCCAGTCGTACACGTTGCCGGACTCGCCACAGCAGAATGGGGTTGCTGAGCGCCGCATCGGCTTGGTCATGGAGGTCGCCCGTACCTCCATGATCCATGCCGATGCCCCCCATTTTCTGTGGCCGTTCGCTGTTCGCTACGCGGCTCACCAGCTTAACCTGTGGCCACGCTCCCAGCGGCCGCAGGTTTCGCCGACCCTCCTTTGGACCGGGTCCCCCGGTGACGCGTCTGCGTTCCACGTCTGGGGCTGCCTTGCTCACGTTCGTGCCTCTGGCACGGACAAGCTCACTGCCCGCACTGTCCCCTGTGTCTTCCTCGGTTTCCCCCTGGACTCGTCTGACTGGCTTTTCTACCACCCGCCGTCTCACCGCTTCCTCCACTCTCGTGACGTCACCTTTGACGAGTCCGTCTCCTTCTACCGCCGCTTCCCTCACCGAGGTCTCCCAGTTGCCCCCCCCCTTTTCCTTGCTCCCTCTCCCCCGGTAGCCCCTGCCCCTCTCCCGCCTCGTCCTGCCCCGTCTGGTGTCTCCCACGTCACTCCCCTCCCGTCGGTTGTCCCCGTTGAGGAGTCTGCTGACTCTGGTGGTACCCCCGGTCCGTCCTTGCCGCGTCCCCCTTCCCCGGTGCCTCCGCCCCCACTGTCGCAGTCGCCGACCCCGCTGCCGCCGCCGTCGCCGTCGCCGCCGCAGCCGTCGCCGCTGTCGTCGCCGCCGCCGCCGCTGTCGCTGCCGCAGCCGTCGCTGCTGTCGCCGCCGCCGCAGCCGTTGCCGCCACTGCCGCCGCTGCTCTCGGCCCCTGGGGGTGCTGGTGTGGAGGAGGGTGTTCGTCCTGCGGCTTCTGGGGGTGCCGCTGGTGTTGGAGGGGGTTCTCGCTCTGGGGGTGTTGGTTCTGGGGGTGCTGCTGTTGAGTGTTCTGCCGACGGTCGTTCTGCTTCTGCTGGTCCGAGAGTTCCGGCCCAGCCGTCGTCGCCGCCGCAGCAGCCGTCGCCGCCGGTTTCCGCTCTCCGCCTGCTCGGCCTTCCCTCCCCGGACCGCGCGCCGGTGTCTCCCCCACCGCCTCCTGACCTCCCTGTCTACGGTCCTGTGTTCCCGCCGCCAGACTTGTCTCCGGCCCGTCTTCCTCCTCGTTCCCCTCCTGTGTCTCCTCCGCTGTCCCCTGACCCTACCCCTCCGTCTCACGTTTGGGCTCGCCGTCCCTCCCGTGCTCGTCCCGTCTCTCCTGTCCTGCCCACCCACCCTATGTTGCTCCGTTCCCACTTGTCTCGTCCTCCCCTCCTCCCGTCCCCTCCTCCCTCGTCCCTTGCTGTTGCACCTCCTCCGTTCTCTGACTACCTCCGTGCTGCTCGTCCCCTTGTCCCTCGGGTCCTTGCCTCTCTTGTTACCGACCCTGCTGTTCCTGTCTCGCGCCTTGACGCGCTTGTCGCTGCTGTCGCTGACTTCGCTTCTACCCGCCGCCTTGACTACGCTACCGCTCTGGTCTCTGACCCTGCCCGTCCTCTGTCCGTCGGGGGTGCTCCTGCCCTTGGCAGTGTTGTCCTAGAGGACAGGCAGTACGAGCTGGCTTTCCTTTCCGAGGCTGCTCCCCATCTCTGCTCCATGCTGTTAGTCCCTGAGGGTGACCCAGACGCCTTCGACATCCCGACCCCTCGCACCTACGCTGAGGCCACCTCGGGACCTTGGGCCTCTCAGTGGATAGCTGCCATGGAGCAGGAGATGGCATCTTGGAGATCCACCGGCACTTACGTCGACGCAGTTCCCCCGCCTGGGGTGAACGTAGTCGATGGTCGGTGGCTCTTCAAGGTGAAGCGCCCCCCTGGAGAGCCGCCTATCTTCAAGGCGCGCTACGTGGCCAGAGGTTTCAGTCAGCGCGAGGGGGTTGACTTCTTCCAGACCTTCGCCCCGACCCCGAAGATGACCACTCTTCGGGCGCTGCTACACGTAGCAGCACAGCGTGACTACGAGCTTCACTCCCTCGACTTCTCTACTGCCTTTCTTCAGGGCAGCCTACACGAGCAGGTCTACCTGCGCCGACCACAGGGCTTCACTGGTACCTTCCCTTCTGGGACCCAGTGGCTTCTCAGGCGCCCGGTCTACGGCCTGCGTCAGGCTCCCCGCGAGTGGCACGACACGCTACGTGCCACGTTAGCAGACCTGCAGTTCTTTCCGTCCTCTGCTGACCCTTCACTGTTTGTGCGTTCCGGCCAGACTCCGTTCTACATCCTTGTCTACGTAGACGACCTGGTCTTCGCTACTCCTGACAGGGACGCACTGGCCTCTGTGAAGGCTGAGCTGCTGAAGAGACACACCTGCACTGACCTTGGAGAGCTGCGTCGCTATCTTGGCCTGCAGATCTCTAGGGACAGAGCAGCACGCACCATCACTCTGACCCAGTCACACTTGGTGCGTCAGGTCCTTCAGAGGTTCGGTCTTCAGTTCTCCTCCGCACAGCCCACACCTCTACCCGTAGACCATGGGCTCTCTGCTCCCGTTCCTGAGGAGCCAGTAGAGCCCAGTGGCCCCTACGCAGAGCTGGTGGGTTGCCTCATGTACCTGATGACTTGCACTCGCCCAGATCTCGCATACCCTCTCAGCATCCTGGCTCGCTTTGTGGCTACAGGCAGACACCGACCTCAGCACTGGTCTGCCGCTAAGAGGGTTTTGCGTTATCTTGCTAGTACATCAGGCATGGGGTTAGTGCTAGGAGGACGCAGGCCAGTGGTCCTTACTGGGCACACAGACGCTTCTTGGGCAGACGACGCTGAGACGCTCAGGTCGTCGCAGGGCTACTGTTTCAGCCTTGGTTCGGGTGCTATCTCTTGGAGATCCACTCGCTCGTCGTCTGTGGCTCAGTCTAGCTGTGAGGCTGAGATCTACGCTGGTGCCATGGCGGCACAGGAGCTCCGCTGGCTGACCTTCTTGCTCACAGACTTAGGTGAGCGGCCTAGCTCTGCCCCGGTCCTGTACGCTGACAATAGGGCCATGATACTCCTGTGTCAGGAGCCTCGGCTTGAGGGCAGAGCGAAGCATATCCAGCTGCGGTACTTCCTCCTGCGCGAGCTACAGCAGCGCCGCCAGGCCCGCGTAGTTCACTTGGCCTCAGGTGCCAACACAGCTGATATCTTTACTAAGGCGCTTGCGCCTAAAGATCATCAGCGGCACTGTGTACAGCTTGGTCTTGTTCCTATAGTTGCTCCCCTGTTAGGATCCTGATTGTGTACTCTCTATTATATATGCTTGTCAGACTGGCCTTGTGGCCTTACCTCCAGTGGCTGGACTAGTAGTGCCACCCTGGCTTTCTTCAGTTTTGGTTGTATTCTTGCTGACTGGTCTCCAGACCCCTGCCTCAGTGGTTGGACTAGTAGTGCCGCCCTGAGCTGTTTGCTTCTTGTTTAGTTTCACCCCTTGTCTAGCCTAGGGGGTGTGTCAACTTATACATATTATCTATGTAGAAGTTATAGGCTAGACTGAGGTATGCTTCTAGTGAGTACAACCAACTAGTATTTGTTCTAGGTTTCCACCTCTAGTAATCATTCGTTTCTACGTTAACAGCGTGCCCATCAATCCACTCTGAAACATGGCTGTAAAACTGTCTGATCAATGGGAGCGCAGAAAGTTCAGGCCAAGCTTAGAGCTGTGAGGTGAGCCAAGGTCCATAATCACATTTTGAGATCACTATTTCGTAGCCTACCACAGTCAGTTTTCGTGATCTGGCTAGCTCCCTTAGGTGTGGCATATGCTGTCAAGTCTGCTATAATAAATAGATTATCTGGCACTCATTGCTACGGTATGTTTGACATGGTATTAGCACATTGTTTTGAGCTACACTTTGGTCGAATGTCTAACACCTATGGCTAGGAGAGTACTCTCAAGGAAGAAATACCAGGAGTAAATGGTTTTTCCAACTCGGAGGCTGAAGAAATAGACTGAATCACAACCCCTTATGAATGTTGTTTTTGTTCCTTTAGACAAAAAGTTTTTGGTACAACTTATACAGTTTTCTATATCCATCCTGGCTAGTGTAGGTTTATCCATCATCAACTTTACACTCGGCTTGCAGCGAGAAAACTCGCGCCGCGGCGGATTGAAGGAAACGGATTTGGTGGCGGCGGGCAGTGGCGGGCAGCGAGCGAGGTGGTTTTGAGCGCTGGTGGCCACGTTTCTCGCACCGCATGTAGGACAATCTACAATTTCGCTTCAGTCGCGGCTCGGTCGGTCGGTCGGCTTGCATTCACCATGAGCTTTTTCTTGACCCCATGCGATGCCTTCTCGTGCCATCCTCTGCCATCTCCACTTTCCCCTTCGCTACAATCACAAGCGTCCTCCTGTAGTGTACGCAGCCCAGTTTCCTCCACAAGCTTTTGCGCGCCTCGCGTTTCCCCTTGCATCCCGCTACTAGCTCAGCTCAGCTGAGCTAAGCTAATCCCCTCCCTCAAGCTTCCAACTAGCATCAGCGAATGAGGCCGCACTCCGAGGGACACAACACGACACGAAACGATCCTCCTCACGACACACTTGCCCTCATTTGACTGTGCCACCGAACTTTGAACCCAAGTTACTTGCCCTGCGGTTGACAGGTAGACCTAATTCAGTCGTCCACATAGTACCCTAGAATGTTATGTTAGCAGGGCCTTGTATATCCATTGGAAATAGCAGATGGCCGTCTGCAGCAGGGCAGCGGTAATACTAGCGGAGCAGCTACGAAGTTGCTAGTTAGGCTCGTGCCATAAGCAGGGGCTACTCATCTAGGGCAAGTTACTCAAATCTCTGCTCGAATTCGGAACCCACTTCCCCTAGGGCCCGTGGTTGCTTCCTAGATGTACATTCGAATGGCCCTCCGTCACTCGCGCGTCGACCAATGTCCCGCACACCACCCTTGTTCCTATAGTACGCGTGCTTCTAGCCGGGGCGCTCGACGCGTTGACGCACGCTGCATACCTGTGTACAGTAATACATCCGCACGTTGTAACACATCTGGACGCTGTAACACATCCTTTCGCCGGTTTAGCTTCTCTGCGACCCGTACAAGGGCTTTGCGTCGACCGTTGTTCCTCTGGGCCTGGACCCTCGGTATACTAACACTCGCTGTTAGCACACCGCTTAGCAGAGGCGTCACTTCGATTGTCGCAACGGCCGCACCAGTGGCTTCCGTTCCTCCTGCCAGTCCGCCGCTACACTTAAAAAAGGAGGTGCAGCAGCATCAACAACAGCCACGGCCGCAGCGGCAGCAGCAGCAGCAGCAACGGCAGCAGCAGCAGCAACGGCAGCAGCAGCAGCAACTGCAGGAGCAGGAGCAAGAGCAAGAGCAGGTGCGCGTCCCCTCGTTATTCCGCCTGGACCGCTTCTTCGCCTCCACCTCCGACAGCATCTGGAAGAAACCACCCGCCGGCGCAAGCGACGGCACACGCGACGGTGCAGGCGGAAGAAAGCAGGCGGAGGACGACACAGGGGGGGCAGCAGGGGGAAGAGAAGACGGCGCTTGGCTGCAAGACCCGGGGGACGGCACCAGCGGGGAGCGCGCGGAGTTCCCCCCCCCGGAGCTCTTCACTGCGCGGAACTTCCCCGTGAAGACGCCGCGGCGGAAGGGGAAGCGGAACAAGGGCGGGGAGGGGCAAGGGCACGGGGGAGGCGCGAAAGAGAATGGCGGAAGCCAGGGGTCGGGGGGGACGGATCCGGGCACTGTACAGGGCGGTTCGGTGGGGCAAGACTCGTGGGTGCTCCCAGTAACGGGGGATGGGTTTCCCATGACGCCGTACCAAGATGTGATTGAAGCGGGGGAAAGGAACGTGGACTGTCCGTACCGGTCGCGCGGCGCGGGGGAAAACCTGTACCGATGCGCCATGGGATACGCCGCACTCGCCGGCGTGACCGGCGGGCTAGGGAAACCGGTTTATGTAGTTACTAGTGACGTGGATAGGGAGGAGGACGCGCCGCAAGGCACGCTAAGATGGGGGCTGTGGAACTACCCCGAGGGAGTGAATATACGCTTTAATAGCTCGATGCTGATTAAGCTACAGAAGCGGCTGTTCTTGCAGTCGCACGTGACGATCGACGGCCGCGGGGCGAACGTGATTATACGGGGCGGGATGGTCCTGGCGAACATCACGAACGTGATTATACACAACGTCGCGAGTGAGTGTAACGGAGGGACGGGGGTTAGGGGGAGCTCGTGAGGGGAAGGCGGGAAGGAGAAGGGCTGGTCGGGAGTTAGCGCCGTGGTGAGGTTTGGGCGGGGGAGGAGGGGGGGAAGGAGGGGGAGGGGGGAGAGGGGGGGCAAAAGGGGGGAGGGGGCGGAGGGGGAGGATGAATGGGGAAGGGAGTGCTCAAAGCTCGCCTATGATAGGCTAATGGTTCTCCACTGCCTAGTGGTTCAGTAGTCTGATCAGCAGTCCCGTCAAAACCTGCACCATACCAGTTTCCCCGACAATCACGACGTGGTGCATATGGCGTTGAATTTTCTCAATCCAAACCCCACCTCCTTGTGCTGTCGTGCGTGTGCATGCGCGTATGTGTCCCCCCGCAGTCGGCGACCAGCGCGGCGATCACGATGTGGTGCGCATCAAAATGGACGACGCGCGCGCTGAGACTCCCCAAACCCAAAACTCCCAATCCCGCGCTCCCCCCCCCTTGTGTGTGCTTCCCCCTGCAGTCGGCGACCAGAGGGGCGATCACGACGTGGTGCACATCGCTGGGACGACGCGCGTGTGGATGGACCACTGCCAGGTGTACAAGGCTGTACGCGGTACAGTGGACGCCGTTTATGGCTCTACAGATATCACCATCAGCAACTCGTACATTAGCAACCGGTAAATGTACATATGTGTAAAATATATTGCATGTATAATGCGCGTGTCGATGGACTACTGCCAGTTGTACAAGGCTTTCCTCGGTTCAGTGGACGCCGTTCACGGGCCTACAGACATCACTATCAGCAACTCGTATATTAGCAAACGCTAAGAGGTGCAACACCCATGAGCATGCAACTTGGTGAACAACACCCCCTCTCCCCACTCCTTTCTCCCCTCTCCCCACTCCCCTCTCCCCTCTCCCCTCTTCCCTCTTCCCCATCCCCTCTCCCCTCTTCCCCATCCCCTCTCCCCTCTTCCCCATCCCCTCTCCCCTCTTCCCCATCCCCTCTCCCCTCTTCCCCATCCCCTCTCCCCTCTTCCCCATCCCCTCTCCCCTCTTTCCCATCCCCTCTCCCCTCTTCCCCATCCCCTCTCCCCTCTCCCTCACTCCCCTCTTCCCCATCCCCTCTCCCCTCTCCCCTCTTCCCCATCCCCTCTCCCCTCTCCCCACTCCCCTCTCCCCTCTTCCCCATCCCCTCTCCCCACTCCCCACTCCCCAATCCCCTCTCCCCTCTCCCCACTCCCCTTCCCCCACTCCCCCGTCCCCTCTCCGCTTCCCCCACTCCCCTCTCCCCACTCCCCTCTCCCCACTCCCCTCTCCCCACTCCCCTCTCCCCCCTCTACTCTCCCCTCTCCCCTCTCCCCCTCTCCCCACTCTCCTCTCCCCTCTCCCCTCTTCCCCTCTCTCCCCTCTCTCCACTCCCCTCTCCCATCTCCCCATCCCTTTCTCCCCACTCCCCTCTCCCCACTCCCCTCTCCCCAATCCCCTCTCCCCTCTCCCCTCTCCCCTCTCCCCACTCCCCACTCCCCTCTCCCCACTCCCCTCTCCCCACTCCCCTCTCCCCTCTCCCCACTCCCCACTCCTCCCCCCTTCACAAGCAGCCTGACCTCCCAGCTCCCAGTAGATATGCGCCCCAGTAGCAGCCTGAGGACAATGGGGTACACGGTGTGAACATGCGCCCATTGCCCCAAGCTCCCTCGCCCCTTTCCACTTGACTCTATTGTCCCCCCTCCCCCTTTCCCCCCTCTCCTGAACTCCCAGCAATCTCACCATGCTACTGGGAGCAACCACAACATCTCCAAAACCAACCCCTCCCCTCCCCTCCTCGCTCTTCCACCCTCCTGAACCCCCTTCACTCAGGAATTTGACCATGCTGCTAGGAGCAGAAGACGATGGGGTATACGACGTTGACATGCGAGTGACCCTCTACCGCAACTGGTTCGACAAGTCGGGCCAACGCCAACCAAAAGCCCGGTGGGGGCGGGTCCACGTGGCGAACTCGCTCTACTCCAAGTGGGCCTACTACTGCCTGGGCGGCCGCATGTATGCCGCCATCCGCTCCGACCACAACATCTTCATCGCGGGGGAGGCTCGGAAGGAGCTCACCCCGTGGTTCGGTGAACGCGCCCTCTGGACTGAGGGGTTTGACACGACCCCAGTGATCCGGTCATTTGGGGACCTGCTGGTGAATGGTGCCACTTTCACGGAGTTTGGAAAGGAGCTGACGATCTTTGACCCGCCGTACCGATTGCCGATGCACGTGGCGGATAAGGCGCTCGCGCACTTTATACGGGTTAATGCAGGGCCTAGAAACGAGTATGTTCCGGAGTTACCGTGCACGCCTCAGACCTGCTTCCAATAATGGGGATGGATGGGACGATGCTGGCACGGCTATGGGCTGCATACGTGGGGGAAGCTACAGGTGGGCATAAATGCGGGACCATGAATGGCTGGGGCTAGGATGGGAGTGCTGAATACTGATGTCCACAAGTACTGGTGGGAGTTGCCGTTGCTATTGATTGTTGCGGGCGGGAATGGCCGATACATGCATGCATGCATGCCCATTGCCCAGCGTCATTGTAAGATGTGTGGTGTGGACACCTGGGAATAATGAATACGGCGCAGCCGTGCCTATCACAGCTGTATAATACTGCTAGGCTGCTAGCACGGCACATCCTGGCTCATTTTTACAAGCACGGGAAGGAGCTGCTCCTCAGGTCTCGTCCAGTCTAGTCTCTACTGGAAGAATTCTCCTGTCCAACTTGCCAAGTGCCCAGGGACTTAAGAACTGCAAATTGCAAGCAGAATAGAGGGTATTAAGTCAGGTGGAACAACGGTGCAGACATGGTGAAGATCATGCCATCATCATGCCATCATCATGCCATCATCATGACATCATCATGCCATCATCATGCCATTTCTTCCTTCAAAGAGCTGCTCAAAATCATTCACACTCGGCCAGTCTTCTTCCTCAATACCATACTACCACTAGCCTTGTCCACGGTAACTGTAGTAAACGCACCCCTCTTGTCTTGTCTTGGCACCTCTTGCCCATCATCAGAGACTAGGTAAGTAGAGTGTTGGGCTTGACCAGAGGAACGAAAGCATCTCCTAGATGGTACACGGCCAACCAACCAGCAGCCGACACACATCCGATACCCCTAAGCCACCAAAGCTGGGGCGTGTGTTGGTTGGGGAAATGCTTTGTCGGGGAAATGCTGCATCCCAGACCAGATGCTTTCCATGTTTTTCCTGCCCCAAACACCCCTAGAGCCTACTTTGCAGTTTTCTTCAAACTGCCCCCTCACAAAGCAGGCAGAGAAAGGCTTTTGAGAACTCTGTCCGATCAGAAACCCCTTGCCAAGCAGGCAGAGGAAGGTGAGAACAAGTTCGACGAAGGTGGGTGGGCTCGATGGAGGGAGGCTGCACTTAGGAGGGGCCAGGGCACGTGAGGGGGAAGAAGGCCCCATTTTGACCACTCTTGCTCTTCTCCTCCACTCATCTACTCCTCTACCTTCTAACCAATGCTTCCCACCTTAACTGCACCTGTGTCTGCCCTAACAGTGGGCTGGGTGACCGTTTTCTTCGCCCCTACCCCTTGAAAACCTGCTTCTACTGCTTGAAAGCACCCCCTCAGTCAGTTTGTCTTCTTTTCCGCCTTTGCGGCACCCGAGTCGACCTTAACAGTGGCTGGCTTGACCTTTTCGAGCTGGCCCCATCTCTCGGCAGGAGGAGGAAAGACAGCAGGAGACCGATGAAGAAAAGGGGCTGGATGGAAGGCGGCTGCACCTTGGAGGGGTCGGGGTACGTGTGGGGGAGGAAGGAAGGCCCTATGTTGACCACTCTTCCCCTATCCTACTCGTCTACTCCTCTACATTCTAAACGATGCCTCTGCCACTTCGAAACCCCCCTCAGTCAGTTTGTCTTCTTCTCCGCCTTAGCAGTAGCCGTGTCGACCTTAATAGTGGCTGGCTTGACCGTTTTCTTCGAGCTGGCCCCATCGGTCGGCAGGAGGAGGAACGACAGCAGGAGACCAATGAAGAAAAGGGGCTGAATGGAGGGCGGCTGCACCTTGGAGGGGTCGGGGTACGTGTGGGGGAGGAGGACTGGGCGGAGGAGGCCCCAGAGCAGCAGCAGGAAGCCGAGGAGCGGCATGCGGGCGGCTCTGAACATGGCAGCGATAGCACCACCCACTGCGAAGTAGCTGCCCACCACAAGCTGGGATTGGGAAGAGGGAAGAATGGAGGAAGAAGAGAGGAGGGTGGGGAGAGCGCAAGAGGCATGCCGGCCGCTCTTAACATGGCTGTGATGGCCCCCCCCACGGCGAAGTAGCTGCCCACCACAAGCTGGGATTGGGAGAGTAGAAGGTGGGGAAGACGGGGGAGGCGAGGGGAGGGGAAAGAGAAAGAGGCATGCAGGCAGCTTTGAACATGGCTGTGATGGCCCCCCACACTGCGAAGTAGCTGCCCACCACAAGCTGGGATTGGGGACTGGAGGAAGGGAGGGAGAGAAGCGGAGGTGGGGGGGGGGGAAGGGGGGAAGAGGGAGGTCGGCAGATGTTGAGGTGCAGGAGACGCATGCAGGTGGGCTTGAACACGGGTGCTATGGCTACTCCCACCGCGAAATAGCTGCGCACCACAGCCTGGCATGGGGACAGAAAGGCAGGGGAGGAGTGCATTGAGGGAGAAAGGAGGGATGACAAGCAGCGAGGCACCAGAAGAGCACTTGGGCAGCGTGAGGCGCACTCATACTCCATACCAGCCATTCGTCTCCCCTCATCCTATGCCTCCAACCACCTTCCTCAAACCCGGAACCCTGAACCCGAAACTCGAAACCCTGAACCCCTCACCTCCAGTCGAAGCAGCGGCAAGCCGGGGTCAGTGGGGTCCCCAGGACCATCAAACGGCATCTCACACCGTGCGTTAGTAGTTTCGTCTTGGGATGTCTCAGAGCGACATTACCATCAAACGGCTTCCCACACCGCTCTAGCACAAACTGCCCCAGGGCCACCACCCACTGCCACGCTAGCAGCTGCACCTCACTCCCTCACTGGCTACAGCACACACTGCTCACACTGCTCACACTGCACACACTGCACACACTGCACACACTGCACACACTGCACACACTGCACACACTGCTCACACTGCTCACACTGCTCACACTGCTCACACTGTTCACACTGCACACACTGCTCACACTGCTCACACTGCTCACACTGCTCACACTGCTCACACTGCTCACACTGCTCACACTGCTCACACTGCACACACTGCTCACACTGCACACGCTGCTCACGCTGCACACACTGCTCACACTGCACACACTGCTCACACTGCACACACTGCTCACACTGCACACACTGCTCACACTGCACACACTGCTCACACTGCTCACACTGCTCACACTGCTCACACTGCTCACACTGCTCACACTGCTCAAACCCCCCCAGCACACCTTATTCAGCACAAACTGCCGCAGGGCCACTGCAACGCTGGCCGCTGCTGCCACTGTCTGATCTGATGCCCCTCCCCCCCCCTCTCCTCCCTCCCCCCCACACCAACCCCCATTCCATACCCTATCTTCAAACCCGAACCCCCTCACCTCCAGTCGCAGCAGAGGCAAGCTGGGGTCGGTGAGATGCTTGGGTCCGTCGAACGGCTTCTCGTACTGCTGCCACTGTCTGATCCCTCACCCTCATTCCAAACACTAAACCCAGAACCCAAACCCCCCACCTCCAGTCGCAGCAGAGGCAGGCCGGGGTCGGTGGGACCCTCAGGTCCGTCGCACATTCTAGTACCGCCCCAGCACACACTGCCACAGGGCCACCACGCTGACAGCTCCTGCCAAACCCCACTATTAACCCCCCGAACCCCTCACCTCCAGTCGGAGCAGGGGCAGGCCAGGGTCGGTGGGATCCTCCGGTCCGTCGAACGGCTTTTCGTACTGCTGCCACTGTCTGATCCCTCACCCTCGTTCCAAACCCTAACCCCAGACCCAAACCCCTCATCTCCAGCCGCAGCAATGGCAGGCCGGGGTCGGTTGGATGCTCAGGTCCGTTGAACGGCTTCTCATACCGCTCCAGCACAGACCCACCACGCTGACAGCTCCTGCCAAACCCCGACTTTAACCCCCCCCCCCAACCCCTCACCTCTAGTCGCAGCAAAGGCAGGCCGGGGTCGGTGGGATCCTCCAGTCCGTCGAACGGCTTCTCGTACTGCTCCAGGACAGACTGCCACGCAGGCAGGCGCAGCGCCGCCGCCACGTCACCGTCCAGCAGGGCGGTGCCAACGTGGCGCGCCAGCTCACCGGGGTACAGGACGGCGGAGAGGAGGACAGGTGGCAGCCAGATGGGGTGGCAGAGCTGCGTGATAACGACAGCTATGGGTGTATCTACTGTGCGATTTGATATGGTTATGCTGGGGGGGGGAAAGGGGGGAAGGGGGGGGTGGTATTTGGGGGACAGTAGAAGGGAGGACGGAAACGTTGAGGGAGGACGACAGGTGGCAGCCAGATGGGGTGGCAGAGCTGCGTGATGACCACTGCTATGGGCGGGTCTACCGTGCGATTGAATAAGGTTATGCTGAGGGTTTAGGGATGGGGAAGGGACAGATGGCGGGGGGGGAGGGGGGGGCAAGTGGCAGCCAGATGGGGCGGCAGAGCTGCGTGATGACGACAGCTATGGGCGCATCGACCGTGCGATTGGATATGGTTATGCTGAGAGGAGAACAAGGAAAGGGGAGGAGAGCAACGAAAGGGGAGGAATGGGGGAGAGACGGATGGGGAAGGGAGGGAGGGAGACAGCCAGATGGGGTGGCCGAGCTGGGTGATGACGACAGCTACGAGTGAGTCTACCGTGCGCTTGAATGTGGGCATGCTTAGAGGGAAAGTCGGTACGGGAAGGGAGTGGAGGGGAGGCAGGTGGGCGAGGGAGGGAGGGGGGAAGGAAAATTGCTGAGGTGGACAGGAAGGAAGGGGGGGGGAGGGAGAGGAGGACAGGTGGCAGACAGATGAGTGGTTGCCACTGCTATGGGTGGGCGAGTCTACCGTGTGATTGGACATGGTTTTGCTGGGAGCACAACAACAAAGCATACGGGGCGTGTTTTTCTAGAAAAAGTAGAAAAAGACACCCCTGCCTACCGTGCGATTGGACATGGTTATGCTGGGAGCACAACACGAAGGCAACGGGGCGGTGGGGGTGTTGGGGAGGGGAGGTGGGGGAGGGGGAAGGGAGGGGGGCTTCTACAGGGAACCTATGACAAAAGAAGGGGTGCTGGAAAGGGTGGAGGCCTATGACACTTAAAACGTAGGCGGTTTCAGGGAAAGGTCTACATGCAAAGTGGAATTTTTGAGTCGACTCAAAAATCGCCTTTGAGTCGACTCAAAAATCACTCATGACACTTACAACGTAGGCGGTTTCAGGGAGAGATCTAAACGCAAAGTGGAAATTGAGGCAAGGATTCGACTTGAATGCGTCTGACTTGCACTTGGAGCATGAAGATCCACCTCACGAGCGATACTTGACACGAGGAATCACCTGACGAGCGATACTTGACACGAGGAATCACCGGAAGAGCGGTACTAGACACGAAGATCCACCTGGAGAGCGCTACTAGACACGAAGATCCACCTGAAGAGCGGTACTTGCGATAACGAATCACCTGAAGAGCCGTACTTGCAGCATCACGAGCAGCAGCATAGCTGTGGGAGCGAACATCCTTAATTTGTCCCACGGCATACCCATGCTGCCTGCTCTGCCGCCTCAGATCAAACCGGCTTACCTGAAGCGCGGTACTCCACACAAAGCTCCACCTGACGAACGGTGCTTGAGACAGATCACCTGAAGAGCGGTACTTGACATGAGGGATCACCTGAAGAGCGGTACTTGTAGCATGAGCAGCAGCAGCATAGCCGTGGGAGCGAGCTTCTTCAATCTGTTCCACGGCACACCCATGTTGCCTGCTCTGCCTCGTTGGATCTCGGATCTGAGTTTTGTGCCAAAGTGCTGCCTTCCTCTCTTGTAGAGAAACTGCTGCTTCTTATAATGAGTATCGCCTTCTACACGGAAACTGCTGCTTATTGTACGAAGTGTTGCGTCTTATACCGCAGCAAATGCTATCGATATTCTGGAGAAAGGAATCGAAGGTGGAAGGGAAGGTCGACGTCCGGAACTAAGGAGCTGGGACGACGCAGGACGGGAGAACGGGTTGACGACCGAGGAGATTGCTTTCGAGTCGACTCAAAAGCAGATCGACGACCGGAAATAAGGAGTTTGGACGACGCAGGACGGAAGAACGGGTTGACGACTGAGGAAACCAACGAAAGAAGCAACGGAGAACGAGCGGATGAAGAACGCGAGGAGAGCAGGTGATGCATGCAAGATCGCTGATGAGAGCCGTAGAACAGAAAGGCGTCAGAAGTCTGCCATTCCCCCCTTCGGAAGACCACCCCAGCAAGCTGCTCACAGGCGAACTGGGCCAGGGGACCTGGCGACAGTGCTCCTTTCCCGTTCCTGAGATCCGGGGTGGAAAAGATTCGAATCTTGAAACGAAGCACCAAAACACCTGCCCCGTTCTGATCTGGCACCACGCCAATATCGAGGAGAGCTCCGAGAAGCCCCCGCGAAGGCTTTTCCTCCCCACCAGTGGATCCCATGCACTAATGCCCTCTATATAGTCTCGTATCCCGGTGCATAAGAGTTTTTCATATCCAAATTCCAAACCCTTTTCACACAAATTTCCTCTTTATGCAAACAGAATCTATAGGCTATATAAATGAACAGTTATAAAATTATTAATTATAAAACTGGCTGTTCATTTTTAAATTGTTTTCTTTGCTCGCCGAAAGTGTGAGAGGCTGTGGCACGAATGAGGTGGGTGTATGTGAGAGGCAAACAGCATATCGAGCCTCTCAATAACCCGTTCCCTGTTGTTTTTTCAATCCCGTTCGGGTTTTGGCGCCAGAATGGCCTGCACCTGACAGACCTCACATGGTCAAACCTCATCCACACCGCCTCTTCTGACTCCAAACCAATCGCCTCAAGCCTCGAACAGATTCTCAGCAGCATTATCGACTTCTGTTCCTTTCCACTACTTACCTCGCACTCTGCGTGTTCCGCTCTCCGTTTCAGGAGCTGTTACCATTAGCCTCTGCCACTGTCAAGGGTTAATTCGTAGGCGTTAGCAGACATGGGAGACTCGTTAAGACCCAAGGGCTTTCGAGAGCTGGTTCAGATAGTGACGAAGAGGTGTCGAGATACGTGCACCCAGCATGCTGCGGAGCTTTTAGGCGACGAAAAAAAGTCTCCGAACGTGATACCAAAGGCAGCGCAAATCGAGCTGAAGGAGCTCTCGTCTCGCCTCACCTCGGCCATAGACTCCGTTGCTTCTGTCACCAAAGACCCAACCCTTCAGGAGACAGCCTCTCCTTCCTCTGAAAGCAATCAGCTCTTAGGTAAGCTAGTAGCAGAGGCGAATCTTTTACCTGCTTAATCGTTAATGGACTGTACTTACTTCAGTCTGCTCTGTGTCGGTCGTTGGTTGAACGCAGAGGTGTCGAATGCGCAGGCGGAGGCTCTTGAAGCAGAGATAAAGGAGCTGGCTCTTATAGTCAAGCAGCGACGGACGAAAGTCCTGGACAAGGTTCGCCATAAGTTGGGGGTTAAGCTGGAACGTTTGAAGAAGGCACAGAAGATACGAAAACCGTTGGGTGCTGTCTCTGCGAAATACACTCAAGGTAATCTGTCATTCTGACTGCGTGTTTTCAACATCGTTGCTCTCCAGAATCTCTTCTTCAGCTTCTAACGCGCTATCATTTATCTTCTTGTTTCTCAATGCCAGCGAGGAGCGAGATTCAATCGCGCATGCAGGCCGTCCTGCAGCAATGCGAGGAGACGAAGACGAAGATGTCAGAGGCTGCTAAGAAGGCTGGTTCCATGGCGTCCCGGTTACATGACCTGATGGCGTCAGCGAAGGCTGAAGCAGCGCGGATTCCGTCAGCCACGGAGCGGGTGATTGCAGGAGAGATGGCTAAGGAGGTGGGGGGCAAGTAGCTGGTGAATCTGACAGGAACAAGTGAAGAAATGGGCAGGAAGGTAGGGTTGGGGGAGCGATATGTTTACTGACTGTACAGGTCGTAGCAGCTGGAAGCCGCACTTAGCAGGGCGCGCTTCCACGAGTTAGTTTATTGTGGTGATAGTAGAGGATTGGCCTGGAGCTAAGCTCAAGTAGGTAGAAAGGAACTGAATCAGTTCAACTGATTCATAGCCCAATGAACACCAGCTCTTACGCTAGCAAGTTCTCCAGTTCAGGGGGAATCTACAATGGGGGCTCATTATTGACAATAATAGCTAATTTCGGTGGGATATTGCGTTAATGGCAGGTCACATACAATTATGGGATTGAATTATGCTGGTACAGTGGGGAAGTCAAATCGACAGGAGAGCCACTCTGTCGCGAGTATGAGCCGAAGCAACTCTCTCGCAAGGCCACGTCATGGCTAGAGTGGCCATGCTGGCAGGGCGAGAGGTGGCCCTGCTGAACGCGCAAACACTCCCAGCCCCGTCTGGCTACTGCTTGCTGGAAGATCGCGCGCGATATCCCAAGGTGACCCCCCAGAAATGTTCCCAGGGTGATTTGAAGCCAGCCTGGTGCTATTTTCAAGGCTTCCTCCCCCCCCCTCCTCCCTCTTCCCATCTCCGTCCTCGATATTTCCGCGTTTCTGTCCTTCGCTTCTGAGAGTGAGCGAGCTCGTCAGCTAGAGCGACTGCAACTGAGCTTGGCGATTCGACGCGCGTGGGCCATGCTCGAGTCGCCGCTCTCCGCGGTGTCAGCTGCAGCGGCTGCTGTTCCCGCCACTCCTGCTGAAACCGGGATGCTCCGATCCGCGTTACACGTGTCCGCGCGGCAGCTCCGGACCGCGATCGGCGGAGCGGCTCGGCTTCCGAGCAGCCACATCAGCAGGCAAGTCAGCAACGAAATGCTGGAAGCTTTGTGCGACAGCGACGGAATATGTTTCAATTGGAGCAAGAGGGAGCCGTCTCGCTGCGCTATCCAAGTCGTCGAGCCCATACAGTCGCCTCTCGCGTCGCTCTTCCAAGATCCGTTGCCTGGTTTCAAGCTTTCAGCATACGCGTTTCAATTATTCGCTTAGTCCGCGCTTTCCCGGTCGTTGCGCCGCCAAGTTTAAAGCTTCTCCTACTCTTCCTGCCCACTCCATTTTATGTTTCCTCAATCCCTTCCTCCCCCCTTTTTTTTCCTTTAGTTCTTCCAAACAAACCCTCCTTTCCTCCTCTTTCCTCCATCCCCCCCCCCCCCCCCCCCCCCCCCCCCAATCCTCCGCTCTGCCCTCAACCCCCGCAGGCTCCCTCCAGCCTCCGCCTTGCACCTGCCTGCCCTCCGCCTCCCCTCGCGCCCCCTTCCGCTCCTCTCCCGCGCATCTCCTTCCGCCCTATCCGCTTCCGCGCCCCGATTCCCCTCCCCCGCGTCACTGCCTTATGGGGCAACTCGCGCGCGCGGAATCACCTCCGCGTCCGCTGCTGCGTCTGGGTCTGACGGCGCAGCTGCGCCTTCAGTCGCTGTTGCTGCTGACGAGGCAGAGAGCAGCAGCGGCGGCAGTGGCGGTGTGACTGAAAAGGAGGTTGCTAAAGCGAGGGGCGGAAAGAAGGGCGTGCGGAAGGACGGGAATGACGCAGCATCTGGCGCAGCGGCCAAGTCTGGTTCGGGGTCTGGGGGTGAGAGTTCGGGGGAGGATGACGTGGAGGTGGAGCTGCCACGTGAGCCGCTGCCGACCAATGAGAGCTCAGAGAAGCTGCTGCGGATCAGACACACGGTGAATGGCGATTGGAATGAGTGAGGCTTGGGACGAGTGAGGCTTGGGGTGGGTGTGGCTTGGGACGAAATGTGGGGTATGGGGCTTGGGGTGAAACACACTGTGAGTGGGCCTTCGCACGTTTTCGAGCAGGCCCTGGCCGATTCATACTCCCCCACATCCACCCTCCTCCGTCTCCCATCTTCTCACTTCTTGCCCACCGCCTAGTTCCTCCCATTCATCCCCGCTGTATTCTCTCCTCTCCTGTCCGTTCCTTCTCCCGCCATCTCCTCTATCCATGTGACTTTTGAGTCGACTCAAAAGCCACCTCGTTACAATGTCACACGACAAAAGTCACCTTTTGAGTCGACTCAAAAGCCACCCACTCATGCCACTGTATTCTCTCCTCTCCATTTCCTCTCTCGCCATCTCCTCTATCCAGTCCGCCGCCCATGTGATGGCCATGCCATGTGATGGCCATGCCATGTGATGGCCATGCCATGTTATGGCCATGCCATGTGATGGCCATGGCGGTTCAAAGGCTCTTGCCCAAGGCTCTCAAGTGACCATCTGCCCGTGGATCCAAAACGGCTTCTACCACGACTTCCACCTGCAGGGGTGCTCTGAGCCGCCTTGAGGCTCTGAGCCATCCATCCGTCCCTCTTCCCCCCAGTCCTCCCTCCCACTTAATGACCATGGCGGCGCAGATGCTACTTTTGAGGCGCCTCAAAAGCCATCCATCCATCCATCCCTCCCCCCCCAGTCCTCCCTCCCACTCAATTTGCCATGGCGGCGCAGAGGCTCCTCCCCAAAGCCCAGGAGGGTGACCATCGGGCCTTGGATCCAGAACTGCTTCTACTACGCCTTCCTTCCTTCCACTTGCACGGGTGCTTAGAGGCGCCGCAAAACACCCACTCTTCGCCATTCCTTCTTCCACCGCCCATCCCCGCTCTCCCCCCTTCCCCCTCCTCCCCCCTCCTCCCCCCTCCTCCCCCCTCCTTCCCCCTCCTCCCCCCTCCTCCCCCTCCTCCCCCCTCCTTCCCCCTCCTCCCCCCTCCTCCCCCCTCCTCCCCCTCCTCCCCCCTCCTCCCCCTCCTCCCCCTCCTCCCCCTCCTTCCCCCTCCTTCCCCTCCTCCCCCCTCCTCCCCCTCCTCCCCCCTCCTTCCCCCTCCTCCCCCTCCTCCCCCCTCCTCCCCCTCCTTCCCCCTCCTCCCCCCTCCTCCCCCAGTCCGCCCATGTGATGGCCATGGCGGTGCAGAGGCTCTTCCCCAAGGCGCAGGTGACCATCGGCCCATGGATCCAAAACGGCTTCTACTACGACTTCGACCTGGACGAGCCGCTGACCGACAAGGACCTCAAGAAGATCAAGAAGGAGATGGTGGGTGTGACTGTAACGAATGTATGGGTACAGTGAGTGGGACACTTGTGAACCATAGGTGCGAGTGGAGTGAGACTACGACGACTTTGACTTGGACGAGCCGCTCACTGAGAGAGAGGGACCTCAAGAAGATCAAGAAGGAGATGGTGGGTGTGACTGTAGCGAATGTACAATGAGTGTGACTATAGTGAACGATAGGTCTGAGTGGAGTGAATTTACTCTGACTTTTACCTGGATGAGCTGCTGACTGACAAGGAGCTCAAGAAGATCAAGAAGGTGGTGGTGGGTGTGTGACTGGAGTGAATGGTGACTAAAACAAACACGGGTGTGACCTGTGATCATAGCGAGCATGGGTGTGATCATAGCGAGCACGGGTGTGATCATTGCGAGCATGGGTGTGATCATAGCGAGCACGGGTGTGAGCATAGCGAGCACGGGTGTGACTGGCGTGAGTTCATGATAGCTTTGACCTCCAGGAGCCCCTGGAGATGTCGCTCGCGAGAGGGGAGGCAGCAGGGCATCGTGTGAGCAGGCCTCAACATGCTTTGCCTGCCCCCACCCCCCCGCCCCGCCCGCCGCCCAAGCGGGACAAGATCATGTTCGAGAACCTCCCAAGAGGACACAGCTCTGCATTTTGAGGCGCCTCAAAATGCTTCTCCTCCCTTCCACCCCCCCCCCCACCATCCCCTTCCCCCCCCCCCCCCAACTCCCTTCCCCAGGACAAGATCATGTTCAAGAATCTCCCTCTGCGCCGCGAGGAGGTGTCGCGAGAGGAGGCAGCAAGGCAGTTTGAGTCGTCCCAATATGCTTCTCCTGCCTTCCACCCCCCCCCCCCCCCCTCTCCCCCCTCCCTTCCCCAGGACAAGATCATGTTCAAGAATCTCCCTCTGCGCCGCGAGGAGGTGTCGCGAGAGGAGGCGGCGCGGCGCATCAAGGAGATCAACGAGCCGTACAAGCTGGAGCTGCTGGACAGCATCCAGACGGAGCCCATCACCATCTACCACATCGGTACGCGTAGTGCCCTTGGAGAGCACTGAAGGAACCAAGCCACTAAAACCATGTACCACATGGGGCAACGAATCCACTGAAGCCACTGAACATGGGTGACACGAATCCATTATCCAGGGGATCAACGATCCATACAAGCTGGAGCTGCTGAACAGCATCCAGACCGAGCCCATCACCATCTACCACATCAATACGTGCACCTTCTGCGTGATAGGAGTCTAGTTTTGAGGCGCCTCAAAACTAGACCATCTACCACATCAATACATGCACCTTCTGCGTGATAGGAGTCTAGTTTTGAGGCGCCTCAAAACTAGACCATCTACCACATCAATACGTGCACCTTCTGCGTGATAGGAGTCTAGTTTTGAGGCGCCTCAAAACTAGACCATCTACCACATCAATACGTGCACCTTCTGCGTGATAGGAGTCTAGTTTTGAGGCGCCTCAAAACTAGACCATCTACCACATCAATACGTGCACCTTCTGCGTGATAGGAGTCTAGTTTTGAGGCGCCTCAAAACTAGACCATCTACCACATCAATACGTGCACCTTCTGCGTGATAGGAGTCTAGTTTTGAGGCGCCTCAAAACTAGACCATCTACCACATCAATACGTGCACCTTCTGCGTGATAGGAGTCTAGTTTTGAGGCGCCTCAAAACTAGACCATCTACCACATCAATACGTGCACCTTCTGCGTGATAGGAGTCTAGTTTTGAGGCGCCTCAAAACTAGACCATCTACCACATCAATACGTGCACCTTCTGCGTGATAGGAGTCTAGTTTTGAGGCGCCTCAAAACTAGACCATCTACCACATCAATACGTGCACCTTCTGCGTGATAGGAGTCTAGTTTTGAAGCGCCTCAAAACTAGACCATCTACCACATCAATACGTGCCTCAAAAATGATACGGGAGTATTGGGGGGGGGGTGAGAAGCGCGCCATGCGTTGAAGTGCGTCTCTCTTGCTCTTTCCCATCATCTCTCACACCCACACGGTCACACCGTACAGGAGACGAGTGGTGGGACCTGTGTGCGGGCCCGCATGTGGAATCCACCGGCAAGCTCCCCCGTAAGGCGATAGAGCTGGAGTCGGTGGCAGGGGCGTACTGGCGGGGCGACGAGAAGCGCGCCATGCTGCAGCGGATCTATGGCACAGCGTGGGAGAGCGAGGGGCAGCTGCAGCAGTACAAGCGGCAGGTGGAGGAGGCGAAGAGGCGGGACCACAGGAAGCTGGGGAAGGAGCTGGGGCTGTTCTCCATCCAGGTAAGCTTCTCCCTATCCAGGTGGGGGAAAAGCCTATTTCTGGTTAAGAAAGCGAGGGGCCGGCAGCTGCAGCAGTACAAGCGGCAGGTGGAGGAGGCGAAGAGGCGGGAGGGGACCACAGGAGGCCCGGGAAGGAGCTGGGGCTGCTCTCCATCCAGGTGGGTGGTGCGAGTACTGAACTCAACTAGTAGCGCGAGTGAGGGGCAGATGACTTCTGAGCCGGCTCTAATGGTGGAGGAGTGAGTCTGCATGCATCAGTGCGGGAGGCAGGTGGAGGAGGCGAGAAGTAGACAGGACCTCAGGAATCTCTAGGGAAGGAGCTGGGGCCGCTCTCCACCCAGATGCGTGTTATTATATGTACTCGCACCTGGATGGAGAGCACCTGGGATCCCTGTACGTGTTATATGCACCATCCCTGTACGTGTTATATGCACCATCCCTGTACGTGTTATATGTACCATCCCTGCACGTGTTATATGTACCATCCCGGTACGTGTTATATGTACCATCCCTGTACGTGTTATATGCACCATCCCTGCAAGTGTTATATGCACCATCCCTGCACGTGTTATATGCACCATCCCTGCACGTGTTATATGCACCATCCCTGCACGTGTTATATGCACCATCCCTGCACGTGTTATATGTACCATCCCTGCACGTGTTATATGTACCATCCCTGCACGTGTTATATGTACCATCCCTGCACGTGTTATATGTACCATCCCTGCACGTGTTATATGTACCATCCCTGTACAGCATCCCAGCTTTTGACCGCCTGAATGCGCCCCTCCACTTGTAACTTGCTTGCTGCCTCAAAATGATGCTGATGGGCTATTTTTTAGGCGCCTAAAAAATAGCCCATCTGAGCTCATTCCCCCTTGGCTGACAATCACATCACCAGTGAATGATGCTGGTGGCGGGGCGGACTGGTGTTCTGGTACAGCAGGGGGGCACGAGTCCACTCGATGATAGAGGAGTACTGGCGGCAGGGGCACCTGCGGCGGGGCGTACGAGCTGCTCTACACGGCCACCTAACCTAACACCACACTTCACGCATTCCCATCCAAACCCCACTGTAACCCACTCCTCCCCTTCACAGGAGGACGCAGGCGGCGGACTGGTGTTCTGGCACCCCAGCCAGGGGGGCACGAGTCCGGCCGATGATAGAAGAGTACTGGCGGCAGGGGCACCTGAGTGGGAGGCATAAGCTGCTGCACACTCGCTAAACCCTCCTTCACACATTCCCCCCCTGAGGGGGGCCATAAGGCTATAAGCTGCTGTCCACCACCTAAACTGCCCTCCACTCATTCCCGTCTAACGACCACCGTGACACACCGTGATCATGGGGGGATGCAGGCGGCATTTGAGTCGACTCAAAAGTCACCTCATGGGGGGATGCAGGCGGCATTTGAGTCGACTCAAAAGTCACCTCATGGGGGGATGCAGGCGGCATTTGAGTCGACTCAAAAGTCACCTCATGGGGGGATGCAGGCGGCATTTGAGTCGACTCAAAAGTCACCTCATGGGGGGATGCAGGCGGCATTTGAGTCGACTCAAAAGTCACCTCATGGGGGGATGCAGGCGGCATTTGAGTCGACTCAAAAGTCACCTCATGGGGGGATGCAGGCGGCATTTGAGTCGACTCAAAAGTCACCTCATGGGGGGATGCAGGCGGCATTTGAGTCGACTCAAAAGTCACCTCATGGGGGATGCAGGCGGCATTTGAGTCGACTCAAAAGTCACCTCATGGGGGGATGCAGGCGGCATTTGAGTCGACTCAAAAGTCACCTCATGGGGGGATGCAGGCGGCATTTGAGTCGACTCAAAAGTCACCTCATGGGGGGATGCAGGCGGCATTTGAGTCGACTCAAAAGTCACCTCATGGGGGGATGCAGGCGGCATTTGAGTCGACTCAAAAGTCACCTCATGGGGGGATGCAGGCGGCATTTGAGTCGACTCAAAAGTCACCTCATGGGGGGATGCAGGCGGCATTTGAGTCGACTCAAAAGTCACCTCATGGGGGGATGCAGGCGGCATTTGAGTCGACTCAAAAGTCACCTCATGGGGGGATGCAGGCGGCATTTGAGTCGACTCAAAAGTCACCTCATGGGGGGATGCAGGCGGCATTTGAGTCGACTCAAAAGTCACCTCATGGGGGGATGCAGGCGGCATTTGAGTCGACTCAAAAGTCACCTCATGGGGGGATGCAGGCGGCATTTGAGTCGACTCAAAAGTCACCTCATGGGGGGATGCAGGCGGCATTTGAGTCGACTCAAAAGTCACCTCATGGGGGGATGCAGGCGGCATTTGAGTCGACTCAAAAGTCACCTCATGGGGGGATGCAGGCGGCATTTGAGTCGACTCAAAAGTCACCTCATGGGGGGATGCAGGCGGCATTTGAGTCGACTCAAAAGTCACCTCATGGGGGGATGCAGGCGGCATTTGAGTCGACTCAAAAGTCACCTCATGGGGGGATGCAGGCGGCATTTGAGTCGACTCAAAAGTCACCTCATGGGGGGATGCAGGCGGCATTTGAGTCGACTCAAAAGTCACCTCATGGGGGGATGCAGGCGGCATTTGAGTCGACTCAAAAGTCACCTCATGGGGGGATGCAGGCGGCATTTGAGTCGACTCAAAAGTCACCTCATGGGGGGATGTAGGCGGCAGATTGGTGTTCTGGCACCCCAGGGGAGCGTGAGTGCGGTCGATGATAGAGGAGTACTGGCGGCAGGAGCACCTGGGGAGGGAGGGGGTATGAGCTGCTGTACTGTCTTTATCCAAGAAACCCCCTTCACACACCCCTGTCTGGTTACCACTACAGGAGGATGCAGGTGGGGCGGCGGGTTGGTGTGTTCTGGCCTCCTAGAGGGGCAGGAGTGCGGTCGATGATAGAGGAGTACTGGCGGCAGTAGCACCTGCTGGGGGGGGTATGAGAGCTGCTGGACACTTCTCTCTAACACACTCGCCTCTATACCATGACTCCCCCCTCGTGGTTACCAGGAGGACGCAGGGGGCGGACTGGTGTTCTGGCACCCCAGGGGGGCACGGGTGAGATCAATGATCGAGGAGTACTGGCGGCAGGAGCACCTGCGGCGGGGGTACGAGCTGCTGTACACGCCACACATGGCGAAGCTGGACCTGTGGAAGACCAGCGGGCACTACGAGTTCTACCGCGAAAACATGTTCGACCAGGTGAGATCCCCGTTGACCCGCGTTGACTCGCGTTGACCCACGTTGACTCGCGTTGACCAGCTGTGACTGAGTGTGGGGATGTTGGGGGTGACGAGTGGTATTGAGTCGGAGGTGGATTAGGAGCAGTATCTCACACACACACTATTGCAAACACATGCACACACACTCACTCACTTGCAAACATGTGCAATCACACCCACACTTGCAAACAATTGCACACACCCACACTTGCAAATACGCGCGCACACACACACACACACCACTCTTTCTAACACGTGCACACACACACACACACACACACACACACACACACACACACACACACACACTTGCAAACACGTGCACACACACACACCCGCACACTTGCAAACACGTGCACACACACACACCCACACACACACACACACCCACACACACATACACAATATAGCTCGATCTCTTCCCCCCCCTCCGTTGCCCTTCCAACGCCTTCAGATGGAGGGGGAGTAGGAGCACTCCCAAATCCGTCTCATGAACTGCCGCAATGTCCGTTACACGTGTGCTGCCTCTCCCTCTCCCCCCCTCCCTCTCCCCCCCCTCCCTCTCCCCACCTCCCTCTCCCCCCCTCCCTCTCCCCCCCCTCCCTCTCCCCCCCTCCCTCTCCCCCCCCATCCAATGGAGGTGGAGGAGGAGCACGACCAGATCCGCCCCATGAACTGCCCCTTCCACATACCAGCTGATCGCAACAAGATGTTTTTTTGAACAACTAGAAGCACCCCTCCACTCACCCATGCACCCTTCCCTTTACCCATCCCTCTCCCTTCTGCCCCTCACAGATGGAGGTGGAGGAGGAGCACTACCAGATCCGTCCCATGAACTGCCCCTTCCACATCATGCTCTATAACGACTCGCTGCACTCCTACCGCGACCTCCCCATCAGGTGCCCCTCTCCTCCCCATCAGGTGCCCCTCTCCTCCCCATCAGCCACGCTGGCTAGTCTTTGACACGGTGTATTGCACGGTGTATTGCTATGAGTGCTCCATAGTAGATTCGTACCCACCCTATACCCACCTTCCCTCCTCATCCCCACACCATATCGCTACGTGAGGCGTACCCAGACCCCCTCGCATCCCACACCCCACCCCACCCCACCTTATGCCATCCCACGGTACGGTGTACCACACAGAAGAGAACTGGTTCTCCTAGGCACGGTGTACCACACAGAAGAGAACTGGTTCTCCTAGGCACGGTGTACTGCTATGAGTGCTCTCCCATACTTTCCATCCCCCCCAACCACCCCCCTTCCCCCTCTCCCCCATCCCCACCCCCCCCTTTCTGCCAGATGGGCGGAGCTGGGCACTGTGTACCGCTATGAGCGCTCTGGAACGATGCATGGGCTGTTCCGCGTGCGCGGATTCACTCAGGTGAGGGACCCAATGAGCATAAGACTGTTGCTGTGCTACAGCCCACACAGATGTGCTACAGCCCACACAGATGTGCTACAGCCCACACAGATGTGCTACAGCCCGCACAGATGAGCTACAGCCCACACAGATGAGCTACAGCCCGCACAGATGAGCTACAGCCCGCACAGATGAGCTACAGCCCGCACAGATGAGCTACAGCCCGCACAGATGAGCTACAGCCCGCACAGATGAGCTACAGCCCACAGTACCCCAAACCCCACCCCCTGCTGTCTGCCCTGCTCTCCCACGCAGGACGACGCGCACATCTTCTGCCTGCCGTCCCAAATCCGGGACGAGATCCGCGGAGTGCTGGACCTCACAGAGACCATGCTCACGGACTTTGGCTTCCAGCAGCTGGAGATCAACCTCTCCACGCGGCCTGAGAAGTCTGTTGGCGATGACGCTATCTGGGAGCAGGCCACGCAGGTAGGCAAGTGCTGGGCAAGGTGGGTACGACTGGGGAAGGTGGGTACGACTGGGGAAGGTGGGTACGACTGGGGAAGGTGGGTACGACTGTGGAAGGTGGGTACGACTGAGGAAGGTGGGTACGACTGGGGAAGGTGGGCAGACACTTGGAAAGGCAGGTCTTGCGGGTGTGCTTTGGCTTCCAGCAGCGGGAGATCAACCTCTCAACTCGGCCAGAGAAATCCGTTGGCGATGATGCTATCTGGGAGCAGGCCACGCACGTGGGCATGTGTATTTTGAGTCGACTCAAAATACACGCTTAAGGCAAGGATCTAAATACACCTGGCCATCATGGTCAACTCGGCCAGAGAAATCCGTTGGCGATGACGCTATCTGGGAGCAGGCCACGCAGGTGGGCATGTGTGCCTGTAGTTTCTGGATGCATTATTTGTGTGTTACGCCTTAGGTTCGCATGCGCACGCCTAGGCTTGCATGCGTGCACATATGCACCTACCTGTGCCCGTGCATTTGCCCTCACACCGTCACTCACACCATCACTCACATCAGGCCACTATCCCTCACCCCCCCGACCACGCTCCGAGGGAGGCCCTAGCAGACAAGGGGTGGGTGGGAGAACAGCGTGCGTGGGGTTGGCAGTGCGTGGTGCATGTGTGTGTTTGTGTGTGCGCATTGTGTAAGCATTCCTGCCCTGTCCCTTCCCCTTGCAAGCAGGCTCTGAGGGAGGCCCTGGCGGACAAGGGGTGGGAGTACAGCGTGGATGAGGGCGGCGGAGCGTTCTATGGCCCCAAGATCGATGTGAAGATCATGGATGCTATCGGCAGGAAGTGGCAGTGCTCCACCATCCAGGTGCGCTGCTGTCATCCAGGTGTGTTGCTATGCGCCAGGGGGAGTAGCAGGCAGGGGGGGAGGGGAGGGGACGTGGTGCCTTGTACTGCCCCAAGATCGATGTGAAGATAATGGACGCCATTGGCAGGAAGTGGCAGTGCTCCACCATCCAGGTGACTAAACGCCACACCATCCAGGTGCGCTGCTCCACCATCCAGGTACAGCTGTATGGCCGTACACCACTGTGTGCTGCTAAGCCATCCAGGTGCGCTGCTCCACCATCCAGGTGCGCTGTTAAACGGTGGCCGGACTAGCAGGCACGGGGTGGGGTGGAGTGCATTGTACGACTCCAAGAAGATCGACGTGAAGATAATGGACGCCATCGGCAGGAAGTGGCAGTGCTCCACCCCATCCAGGTGACTATACGCCACACCACTGTGACTGTACACCACGGTGAGATAGTGCAACTTAGAGGTTCTCCTAGAGCACCAACTCCACTTGTGAGGATTCGCCGCTCCACTCTGTGTATGTTATACCTGCCGTGAGGTTTCCTAGAGCACCAGCTGAATGCATTCCTCCATTAATTCCTCCCTCCAATAACCCACTGCTAGGTGGACTTCAACCTGCCGCACCGATTCGGCATGGTCTATGTGGATGCGGATGGCACTCGCCGCCCGCCCATCATGATCCACCGCGCCATCTTTGGTTCCCTGGAGCGATTCTTTGGTATCCTTATTGAGAACTATGCGGGAGACTTCCCCCTGTGGTTTGCTCCCACTCAGCTCCGATTGCTGCCGGTTACTGACTCAGAGGTCCGTTGCTTCGTTACTTGCAATAAATTCCATAGTGCCAAGGATTTGTTCTCGCTTTTGCTCCATATGTGATTTGTCTTCTTTTTGCTTCTCTCATTCCATAGTCTCCTTGTTCCCTCTTAACTCATTGCGTCCCTCTTATTCCTCCCCATCCCTTTTCAGCTGCCCTTCTGCAAAGAAGTGGTGGCTAGCCTATTGGAGCGGGGCATTCGTGCTGAGGTGGCGAGTGGTGAAAGGCTGGGCAAGTTGATTCGCAATGCGGAGACTCAGAAGATTCCGGTGATGGCTGTGGTTGGCCCCAGGGAGGTGGAGTCTAGGTGCCTCAATGTGCGCACTAGGAAGGGCGGAGAGCTTGGAGCCCTGTCTGTGGACGAAGTCGCGAGGAAGATCGAAGAAGCGGTGGCTAATAAGGGGTATTTGTGATAGCATTCTGCACTGTTGATACACGAAATCATTCTTAAAACTTGTCATCACACAAGTTTTGTACGAGTCGGACCCACGCAATCTTGTATGATTTACGTTTAGCTTGATGCTAGAATTGCTCGATCCATTTACAGTTGATCTGATAAATAGCTCGTACAAATTGGTAACACGCCCACTTTCGCGTGAAGTCTCGCCCTCTCGACACCGCTTCCCTCCGCTGATCGTTCCCCGTTCGCCAATGGCTGCCAGCCGCTGCTCTCCGCTCTCCAGTGTCGCACACACACATCCTTGGGATTACCTCCCCTCACCTCCCTCCCCAGCCCCCTGATCCCCCCTACTCTATCTGCTCTCTGCTCTCTCTGCTGCGCTGAGCCTTGGGATAATCCTGCTCAGGTTGTCCCTAAAATTGTGCCATATACTCTGCCGGTATTGCAACTTGCTCGTGCGACTAGTCGTAGTGTTGTGATTCACGGGCGCCTTGCGTGACTGGCACCGTTCCGCGATCTTATTAGACGTAAGGGGACGGAACAGGAGGGAGATTAAAGCAGATTAGTGAGCCTCGTCGACCCTGTAGTTGGAGGCTAGCCTGAGTTAGTTAGGCACTATGTCGTACGAGACAGCGTGGCAGAACTTCCAGCAGGCCTTTTGGCAGATCTCGCCGTACGCCTATGCCGCCATTGGAATCGCCATTTCCATCGGCGTTTCCGTCCTCGGAGCAGCATGGTAGGCAAGGCTACCGCTTCAGATCTGCTCCAGTCGTTTCGCAGCCACACAGCCGGTCACGCATTTTTCTTCTCAAATGGTCGCTTGCAGGGGAATCCTAATCACAGGAAGCAGTTTAATAGGCGCTGCTATAAAAGCTCCCCGGATCACGTCTAAGAATCTTATCAGGTGATTAACCTTCGCATGCGCGGTCCGTTCATCCTCTTATTTTAGTGTTGGGCTTTCCTCCTTTCGCAAGCCATGGCCTGACATGTATCGCTCTTTTTTTCCTTCGCCTGCGGACAGTGTTATTTTCTGTGAAGCGGTGGCCATTTACGGCGTTATTGTGGCCATCATTTTGCAAACCAAGCTGGAGTCAGTCAGCAAGGCCAGATTGCACTCCCCTGAAGCTCTCCGCTCTGGTTACGCCATCTTCAACTCCGGAATAATCGTTGGTCTTGCAAATCTCTTCTGTGGGTAAGCTTGCTTTCATTGCTTTTGCAGCGTCAGTGGTAAAAAATAACATATTGCGGAAGTCTTGAGTGCATGTGTTTCTCTCCACGTTGCGGGATCGAACGGGTCTGCTGATACCTTGTTGCGCGGCCGGTGTCTGCAGGCTGTGCGTCGGCATCATTGGTAGCAGCTGTGCGTTGTCCGACGCTCAGAACTCAACGCTGTTCGTGAAGATCCTCGTTATTGAGATCTTCGGCAGTGCGCTTGGCCTGTTTGGAGTCATCGTTGGAATTATCTTATCATCTCAAGCGACATGGGCATAAACAGTCTCCTCACGCTCTCCAGGTCCGTTATATGCATGCCTGCTATCCTTGTTGGTTGTGTAGGATGCAGCTGCCTTTCTGTTGCCAGGCATCATTGTCGCCAGAATCTGCTTATAACGCATCTCCTCCCCCACGATCCTGGCCCCACCCTATCACTCCCCCTTTTCCCCCCTTCCCTCTCCCCCCCCCCCCCCCCCCCCCCCCGCCCCTCTCCTCCTCCTCTCTCCGGTCCAACCCCCTTCCGATCCTGGCCCCACCCTATCTTATCAACTCCTTTTCAAGCTTTTGCCCACCTTCATTCCCCTGTTCCCCCTGTTGTGCCTTCCCAACATTATGAATGCGTGATAAAGGCTTCAAGGTCCGGCATTCATTGTGTTGCACATGCTTCTGTGCACAGTGAGCCGTGATGCGGAGCAATACATTCCTAATGCATGCATGCATGTATTGCATGGCTGTACGGTACCGTAGTACGGTTGCATTCTCATCATCATAGTCTCTTACTGTTTGCTTGGCAGTGGCTCCATGCTCATTGCTCAACCCAGCTGGTCGCATACAGTTAGATCTTCCCGTCCGTGTAACAACACATGCTATCAACTGGGCGGATGGCCTGAGTTTAATCTTTGAAGGAGTGACAACGTGAAAAACGGTTGGCTCTCTTGTTTCCTTGGTACTGAAACTGCTTAATATTTTATGTCTAGTGGGCCATATTAGCGATTGCACTGTTACAGCGCCTTTATTTTGAAGTCGGGCTTTCATGGACAGAGCATGGGGACAAGAGTAGAGATGGCAGTGTATATCTAGAAGTGTGGGAACATGTGATATGCTACATCCAACCAGCATCCCTAATGGAATACAGTTTTTGCAGCACAGGCATATTTCTCGTACTCCCTCATGCATGGTGTAATTAACAGTTCATACCCAGTATTGAGCTGATGCCTTCAACATATGTTCCGAAGTTCGCCAAAAGAACAAACTAATTCATGTTTACGGTAAAAATTTATTACCCCCAACAGATACATACACAGCCTTAACAAAACTACCAATACCCCATGAACATCTACCCTCGATGGAAACCATTTGATACCTGAAAAGAAAGCATGATGCTCAATAGTCTATGGGCCAGCGTTCCCATGAACAGTTTTTCTATAAGCTATTCCTACGACCAGGCCACAAGGAGGGGTGTACCAGAGTTACTACAGACCCATCACGTCATGATTAGCGGCCTCATGAGGTCGTTGTCCTCATGCTCCAGTGCGTGGCAGTGCCACACATAGCCCGGGCCCTTGGTGGAATCAAAGGGGAATGCCTTGCCGTCCTGCATGTAGAAAGACAGACGGCGGTTCAGACAAGGGGGTTCAGAAGTGTTGGGGTTAGTTTGTGGTGCAAAGACTGCCTGAGAGCATGGCAGCCCGGGCCCTTGGTGACATGGAAGGGGAATGGCTGCGGTCCTGCATGTGGAAATATAGAAGGCGGTTCAGACAAGGGGTTTTACAACAGGCGGGGTACGGTTTGTGGTGGGAAGATGTGTGCGTTGGAACATGATATGAAGTGTGGACAAGCAAGGAAACCATCTGCATAACAATAGTTCTAACCATGTTCGGGAATGCCACAGTGGTGTCTTTCCAAATTCCACCCCTGCTCATGCCCACTCCCCCCCATTGTGCCCCACTCACCTGCCCCTTGAACGGAACGAAGATGGTGGTAACCATGTCATTGAACACCACGGTGGTGTCTTTCCACCCCTGCTCATGAAGGGGCACGGGGCGGGCCGGGCCAGTGAAGCAGCTGGGCTTGGAGGAGGGGGCGAGCGAGCACGAGCCGTTGATGAGCCCCCCTGAGTTGATCGGACGGCGGAAGAGGGGGCGGTGCTGCACCAGGTGCAGGTGGATGGGGTGCGTCTCGAAGGTCGGGTTGACTATGTGCCAAATCTCAGAAGTGCCCTGTTAAAGGAGGGGTATTGGAATGGCGTAGGGTGAAGATCAGGACATTATAAGAATTTTCTTGATGTTGCGGGAAGAAGCAAGAAATGAACCTGCACAGCTTGACTGGTGAAAGCGACAGCTTTTGGGCGGGTTTGTTGCTATGCTCACCACTTTGGGTGTCTCGGTGGCAGGGTCCATGTACGACTTGCCATTGAACAGCATGGAGCTCGGTTTCTGCGACACCGGGTCGATGACAAACACGATGGCCAGCCAGCGCTGCTGCACCGCCTTGTTGACATCGACCGGAGGAACATACTGCGGAGGAGAGAATGGGTGGGAGGGGGAACATGACAAACATGACGTAAGGGTAAGGACGAAAGCCGGTTCGATGGCAAACATGACGGCGAGCCATTCAGTACCATTCTTCCCATTCTATCATGGCTGACAAACATGATGGGCGGGCCAGGGCTGCTGCTCCGCCTTATTGGCATCGACGGGGGGAACATGCTGCATGAGAGAAGAGAGAGTGGGTGGGAGGGGGAAAGGTCAAGGGGGTAAGAACGAAAGCCTGGTCAATGGCAAGCAAACACGATGGCCAGCCAGCCCCGCTGCTCCGCCTTGTTGCCATCAACGGGAGGGGCGACCTGGAAGAGATAGGGGAGGGGAGAAGGTGAGAGGGGGAGGTGAGGAGGAGGGGAGTGAGGCCCCTGGTCCATGACAACCATGATGGCCAGCCAGCGCTGCTGCTCCGCCTGATTGACATCGGCAGGAGGGACAACCTGCACACAGAGAGGGGTACTGCGGGTGGGTGGGTGGGTGGGTGGGTGAGGGAAGGGAAGGAAGAGAGTGAGGCATGGTCGATAACAAACACGATGGTGAACCAGCGCTGGTGCACTCGCCAGCACAATCTCCCACACACTCGCCGAGGTCCTCATGGGAAAACGCAGGAGCCTTAATAGGCCAGCGCTGGCTGATGATGATAAACCACATGCATGACCACACGCGTGTGAACCAGTTGTTGAGACACTCGCAAGTGCAATCTCCCACGCACTCACAGATATCCTCTTGGGCAGCGCTGGTGCTTTGATGGGCAAGCGCTGGTTGATGATGAAGCGCATGACCACGCCTGTGAACCAGTCGGCCGGCTGCCCCACAGGGAAGGGGATGGGGGCGTTGTTGACGACGATGACGTTGCGGCACCAGGCAGGTGCATCGTTGAAGTCAAGGAGCATGTCGTGGCGCACGCCTGGGGCGAAAAGGATGGAGGTGCGGCGGAGGGGTCGGGCGAGGTAGCCACCATCGGAACCGATCTGGTTGTGGGGAAGGGGGAAGCAGGGAGGGTGGAGCAGGGAGGGTGGAGCAGGGAGGGTGGAGCAGGGAGGGTGGAGCAGGGTACATGTAAGGCACGTCAGGTGGGCACAGCGTTAAAGTCAAGGAGCATGTCGTGGCGCACGCCGGGGGCGAAGAGGATTGAGGTGCGGCGCAGAGGACAGGCGAGGTAGCCGCCATAAGAACCAATCTTGTAGCAGGAGGAGGTTAGGGAAGGAAGGGTGGGGTGGGGAGGGGAGGGGGGGGGGAAGGGGAAGGGGGGGGAAGTGGATATTCGCCCTACAAAATCAACTTCAACAGTATACAACTTGCTGTTGAGGTGTTAATGACCTTGCACGTACCAGGTAAAAGGTCAGGTGGGGAGGGGTCATGGGGGAGATTACAAGCCAGCCAACGAACAGACGTACCAGATAAAAGGGCAGGAGCGGTCCGGCAAGAGGGGGGTTAAAGTTGTGATCACCACGCCCAGCGCACTGGAAGGAGAGGTTGTACGTGCGCGCATTGGCTGCATTCACCATCCGAAGCCGGTGCTGCGCTCGCCGAACCGAGAGGAATGGCCAGACCTGTGTGGGAAAAGAACGTTGAAGACAGTGGATATGAGGCTTGTCAGTCAGTGAGTACAATCCGGCTGCTAAGAATTATGGAACAAGAAATGTAATAACATGCTGGCAGTGGATCACTCCAGCTTTTTTTTGGCGCTGCAAAAGCAAAAGGCTTGCCTGTCATCTTACCTTGCCGTTGACGACATTCGTATTGCCAATGTAACCGGGTATCCAGTTCGGGTGTACATTCGGCACGAACCCCTGGTTCGGATAATTGATGGATCCGTTCGGGAAAAACATCCTGTCAGCAATCACGAGGTGCAATTCACGCGCGCCACGTGGCAGCCATTTCTTGAGTCGCCTCTCCTCGCCTTGCGGGTCGCGGATAACGTAGAGCCCCGCCATTCCCGCGACCATGTTGAGCGCGGTCAACCCAATCGTGTGGTCGTGGTACCACAGCATCGTGGCGCGCTGCACATTCGGATATTCGTGCTCGCGGGATTTGTACTCGGATCCGTGCTCGCCGCTGCTGGTGGGGGTGATCTGGGATGCGTACTCGGGGTCGTTCTCCCCACTAGAAGTGTACCACGCCATCGGATGGCCGTCAGATTCGCTTTGCGTCTCCCCACCATGCCTGTGAACGGCTGCGATGGCACCAAGGGGGAGCAGGCAGGCGGGGTAGAGTGAGAGAGGCGGAGGTTAGGAAGGAGGCTGGAGATATTGTTGGGAATGTCAGTAGACCGAAGAGTACCGCTCGCGACCGTTCTGGAAACGCGAGCCACCAGACTGTAACGCTCTCCGTGACTCCCGCGATTCAGAGTCGTGGAAGCAAAGCTTGAGGTAGTTACAGCCGTGGAACTTCGTCTTCGCTGAACATTTTCGCGGTGGGTATCTCAACCGAAGCGCAGATAGTATAAGTACTACTAAGATCTTGAAACCAGGGCTTTCGCTAGTAGTACTAGAGTAGCAATCTGGTAGAGAGTGGACTTACAGATAGGCACGCCGCCGTTTGTGAGTGTGGGCGACATGAGTGTGGGGTCGATCGTGAACATGTGCTTCTTATCATTGATGTAGTTGGAGAACTTCACCTGCGATCGCGGAAACGCACAGCGGATCAGACAGTAACGTGAATGGAGGTAAGCGAGAAGTCAGACGAAGTTGCACGATAATGTTTACAATGATGCGATAGACAAGCTACCGTAGTGATTTCTACTACTAGTCGAATCATAATCGTGTCAGACGGACGATGATCAAAATCAGCGCACTCAAGCAACCGTCACAGGGCTTAGCAGTTTGGAAACCCTAACCCAGCGAGCTTCGTACATTTTGAAACCTGGCACAGTAGCTGTTCCAGTAGTTAGCACACCGTACTAAAGCAAACTGGGACGACAACCTGACAGACTGACAGACTGACAGGTGACAGGCGCCGCTCACCTTGCTGGTAGTGCCGCGCTTTGCGACGAGCACGGGGCCCGGGTAGCGCGCCGAGGTGCGGGAGACGCCGTACGCATACACCTTGGTGTCGGGCAGATCGCGGTGGAACTTCTGCGCGGGGGGGGGGGAGGGGCCCGGTGGGGGGGAAGGGGGAAGGAGGTGGGGTGGGGAGTGTGGGGGAGTGCGAGGGGGAGCGAGCGTGTGAGTGGGGGAGTGACAGTATCGAGCTCATGTGCGTACACCTTGGTCTCGGGCAGGGCTCGACGGAACTTTGGCTGAGGTAAGGAGAAGGGGGAATGTGGGTATGCGAGTCACACACACGACGGCAAACATGCTCAGAGGACTGAATCGCAAACGCAGGTCCGCTAGAGGCGTGACAGGGTAAAACCATGAGAACTCCGTGGATGTAAGCTATCAGGCACAACTGGTACACGTCGCACGGAATTGCCAACTGTCAGGCGTCGGACTTGCCTGATAGACGTCATACGCGCCAATCTCGATCGTCTTGCCGGCCGACGCGTCGAGGAAGGTGAGTGGCGACCCGGCGAGGTCGTCGACGAACTTGCACAGCGGCTTCTGCGGAAACCGGTTCACGCACCGCGGCCCCGCCAGCGGCTGCGCGCCCGTCAGCAGCACCGCTGGCATCACCGCCGTCAGAGCCAATACGACGGCGCAGAGGCGGGCGAGCGTGGCCGGCCGCATGTTGGCGGTTCGCGCTGAAGTTGATGCCCCGAGAAACGAAGCTCCAGCGGCGGTACCGTGCCTCGGAGGCGCGACTGACGCGAGTCGCTGGATGGCCGGTTGCTATCACCGCCGCACGGGGCTGCGGAGCTGTCGAGAGTGGCTTCTAGATGGATACAAGAGTGGCCACTATAGGTGGATAGTAGACAAGCAGCTCGCGACGGATGGATGAAATGAGATGGGAGGGAAGAGGGGGCTTTTAACGAGGCTCGGAGACACGGGGGGGGGGGGGGTGTGGGCGGAGTCAAATGGTCAGTGGACCCTCATACTCTAAATCCGAAACCCTGTACAGTCGAATGCACGGGGGAGTCGGGATGGGAGTCGAGCTCCAGTGAACTCGTTGGCTATACGGAGCGCGCTTGATAGTGCAGGGGAGAGAGCAGCGGGAATTGAAAGGGAGCGGCGGGTGGGTGGGTGTGGGCTCGAGGAACGCAGCGGGATGGGATGGGACGAGTGCTTGCGCGGCGGGGGTGTGGGGGAGGGGGAAAGAGGGCTCTGCTGCTTTAATGGCGGAGAGAAGACTGTCCGTTCGATGGGCGACGGTCGGACGTCGTCGATCCGGTTCGTGGGACAACGATGGTCCCACGTCGCCGCGGCGCGGCGACGGTGAACCATGCCCCAAATTTTATGGTCCATAAATTGTAAATTAGACTCGTTCGGGGAGGGAGGGGGGAAGAAGGGGGGGGGTGAGGGGGGGAGGGGGAGGGGGGGGTGGGGGGAGGAGAGGGAGGGAGGGAGGGAGAAGAAGAGAGTCAAGGGGAGGCGGTGAGTGGAGTCGAGAGACGGCGATCTGCGGGAGAGGGTGCTGCGGCGGTGGAATGGGATAACGGGGGAGGCAGGAGGGGGAGATTCCTTTCGCATGCCTTACGCACGTGGGCGGGCCCACGCGGGTTGCCCTTCGGGCAGGCGCGCGGAATCGCGGGTGTGCCTTTTTGTGTACACGCACTCGCTGAGGAGGATGGACGAGGAGAGGGGGAGGGGGGAAATGAGAGAGAGGAGAGAGGAGAGAGAAGAGAGGAGGGGGGCGAATGACTTGGTGGTGTGGTACTGTAGGAGACAGATGGGGAGGAGGACACGGGAGGAATGGAGAGGTGCAGAGTGGTACAGCACGTTTTCCCACGGTCGCGAACAGTCCTTGAGCTTCACCGCTTTGAACCATCGGGCACCAGACTGAGCCGTACTAAGGGAACAAGCGGGACATGCTTTAGAGGACCAAGGTCAGACATTACTGGGCTACAAAGGGTGCCCGACTTTACAACACCTTGTTCACGAGTCACGCTGGATGAATGTGGATGAAATTACACATCGGGAGGATGCACTTAGAGAGAGAATTGGGCTGGACATTTTGCGGACATGTGTACAGCACTAGGAGGAGGAGGGGGAGGTGGTGGAGGTGCAGTGGAGACAAAAAACATACAGCACTAGGCAAAGGTTAGACCGGACAGTGTCCCTCCTGCTAAGCCCCAGGGTATTCTGGAAGGGGACGGAATCGACTCAGGATCACCCGTTAACAGACGGAATTCCCCCCAAAAAACCCGTTACCGAAAGGAATCGGCCGCTACAAATTCGGCTAGCTAGTGATCAAAGGCGGGGTTGGGGGGAAGGGTGGGGACGGAGGGGAGCGGAGTTTGGTGGGGGGGGGGGGGTGGTGGGCGGTCGCTATCCCCTACAGATTTCCCTGCTACAAGGAAAAACCTGTACGGATTCGAAGAAAATTTACTTGTTAGGCTAAGGAATCGCGCGAAATTGTTTCCGTAAGTTGGACGGATTCGGAAAAAAAAATCGCACTATGAAAAAACGGAACCACTTCAAAAGTTACTCTTAATTTCTTGACATTAAGGGTCATTACCCTATTAGCAAGCGGCCTGCCGGACACACAGTGGCGGTAGGGTAGGGCAAGGAGGGAGGCGGCGAGAGAGAGAAACCGGCGCCATGGCTCACGACGGCGGCGCATTTCGATCGCACCAACATTCGTCTCCGACGTGTACGCCATCGATCCGCCGAGATGCGAAGCTATCGCGGAGCGATTAGGCTAGACGAATCACAGGAAGGGAGAGAGCAAGCACGAGCGTGGGATAAAAAGTTGGTTGGATGAGGTTGGGCGATTTGGTTAACTACAGTAGCCGGCTTCGACAGGAACTGCTCTCCTTGTCTGAGTCGGGTACTTGTCTTTTTGCGCAACTAATCGACTGCAGCTACATTAATGTACGACTGCAGTTGCACCATCGCCTGGTGCGCTACCCTGCGCTTCTTGTCCCCCTCACACCCTGCCAGCCGAGACACTCCTCCTTATCCCGCTCCGCCTCCCTTTCCCCCCTGGTGGAACCAGCTTGTGTTTCAGCAGGGTTTGGTGCAATTTCACTGAGAAACTCGCGTACAAACGCGAAAAGTTCCAATGTTAGGCCACTTAGCCTAAATCCGTCAGAGAGTAGCGGAGTAGATAAAATCGAGGAAAAAGCACCAAAGAAGACACTGGCCAAAAAGTTGATGGCGAAGTACAGCTGACATGCCGTTAAAGCCGTTGATCCAAATTGCAGAAATTTCGTCTCAAGTATATTAATCCTGAACACCCCGATTGGTAACTTTGTTCCCCAAAGCGAGAGCAGAAATCTAAGGAATTGTCATTCCTTACTGCGTCGACCGCTACCGCGTACACCCGAACATCTCGACTCGTCACGTTCGGCCTTTATTTTCGGCCCAACCCTTTCTCGGGTCGTGTCCGATACTGTCGCCACATTGCGAACCTACTCACGTTCCGATGTTATCGTCCTAGTACGCCTATTCCTATATAACCTCGTGCTTTTATTGCAATAGCGACCTTGTATTCTCACGTTATAGTACATTGACATCTTCTAAATCATAACAGCTGGTATCAGAGCCCGAACTTTCCAGGAACCTTTGTTTTCCCGTTTAATTAGTTAAGGGTGGTCAGAGGGGATTAAAGCGAGAAGTCAAAATAGTAAAGGCGGGTCCAACTTGAAAGGGCCCAAACATCCGTTTTTTGCGACTAAGGGACAAACTGCAACGGGGCAGAGGGTACACTGTCGAGAAATGTGAGCAGGGGAAATTGAGCGAGAAGAGGCAGTTAGCTGATTGGTTGACGTTGTTGGAAATATCTCAAAGGACTTAAGCGTTTCTGAAGTATAACACTGTACTCGAGGAAGATTACAGGGGAGCACACGAGTCAACGAAGGTTGCACGAGGGGGCGGACAAAGAATGCGAAAAGACTCGAAAGGTCGCAACTGGAGGTTACGACTGACCGTTACAACATCACGGATGGTAACCGAAGCGGCAATCGAGTCGCTGTGCGACTCGATAAACCGTTCCTGTAACTGTATTCTACAACTGCTTTCTTATCTTCTATATATTGCTGTATGCTTGTTTCTTTAATCAATCACTTGTTCTCATATACTAGTACAAGGGTTCAACTGCCTCAACTTCCGCTACACTACTCAAGTCTCATTCTACAACTGGGACTTAGTCTCTGGAAAGATCCTAAGGGCTTTTTCTCAGCCCAATATGGTATGAGAGCTGGTCAGAGACCAAACTCCAAGCAACTGCGCTCCATCAACCTGCAACTCAACCCAATTCAACGACTTCATTGATCACAAGACATGGACAGCAAGGGCAAAAAGGTCTCTACGGGCTCACCCAGCGGCCAAGAAACTCAACACGGCAACTCTGGTCTGCACACCTCAGGACTGCAGACAGAGACCGGGACTGCTCAAGAAACAACGGGAAGAGCACCAGAGATGGTGACTCCATCTCCATCTTCAAGCGTGGACCCCAACCTTATGGAAAGGTTCTTCAGCTTCATGTCGCACTTCGACCAGCAGCAGCAGACAAGGACACCTGCGCATTCAACACATAGCAATGGAGGAAACATGGGATTAGCGCAGATGAGCCTCGACAACTCATCGTTTGGGCGACACAATCAAGCGCCCACCTTTGCGCCTTATCACTCTTCACCGGGGACGTTCGAGTTCATGCCGCCCCGTGCCCAACCAACAGCAGCTGCATCACAACAAACACCAAGCGAAATCTTAAGTCTCCAGGCGCAGTTTTCACACGTGATTAAACTGCAGACATCCTCACCGTTCAACGGACACGACTTCTTTACCTGGAGCTTCGAGTTCGAGCTGCTGATGGAGGCTGCGCACCTTCTGGGATACTTCAACGGGTCCCTGCCATTCCCAAGCAACGGCACTGGAAAGGAACAAGAAATCTTCACGTATCAGTCGCTGCTGGCGTATACGGTCCTCCTGAGAAACCTGTCACCACAAGAACAGCAGAGCATCAGAACATACAGGAGCTATGGAAACTCCGCGGAGCTCGCATGGCACCATCTCAAGTGCCTCTACCAAGCAAACGACAGCGTGACACAAAGCAGACTCATGCAACAACTGACAACAATACAAATGAAGACCGGGGAAAAGGCGATGCAGTATATGAGTCGCTGCCAGACCCTCCGCGACCGCCTGCTTCGGTGCGGAGGAACAATCACTGAAGAAAGCTTCGTGACACTTGTCCTCGCCGGGCTCGGGCCAGAATGGAGAACCACACGATCGCTTCTTCGCGCCCACGGAAGGATTTCGGAGATGCACCTCTGCGCCGAGCTTCACGCTGAACAACAGGAGATGGACCTCTTCGAAGAAAGACAACCAAGGAAGCAGCAGCAGTTAGTCTTCTACACTCAACGAAGAAACGACAACACCTACAATCGACGCAGCAAGCAAGAGCGCGACAACAGAGGGACTATCTTTGTGCCGCCGTTCTGCCACAACTGTCAGACTTCCGGGCACTCCAAGGTCAACTGCAACCGCCCTCGCGTTTACCGTCCAGCAGACCCAGAAGTCGCTTCCACTCAAGCAAGTCCCCCAAGGCGCTCTTCAACATCTGCACAACAGACACCAAACATTATCAATTGCATGGTACACATCGACAACTGCGCACCCGGATCACCACCCACTTACGCGCCAGACGAAGAAGAGCTCCCGCCACCGCGCTCACAAGGCCTTCAAGTCAATCCAACATATGCTGCGGTCGCCAACGCCGAACCCACCGGGCGAAACACCTGGTTCTTGGACAGCTGCTGCGGGCAACACATGTGCTCTTCGGGATGCTTCGTGCAACAGGAGAAACGCCTCAACCGCGACGTCGTCATCACCGTCGCCAACAACGAAAATCTGAAGACAAACAGACAAGGCGTGGTTCAGTTACAATCCATGGAGACAAACGTCATACTTCAGCTCAACAAAGTCCTCATTGTCGACAACCTGGGATACAACCTACTAAGCGTAAGCCAACTAATGGCCAAGGGGATTCACCTGGAGTGCGACTCCTACTCCAACGAGTTTCGGCTATACCACGGGAAGGGTGGCCTCTTCATCGGTCGTGCCCTCCTCAAATCCGGCGTCTTCGTGTTGGACTTCGTCCCCGAACGCGATACTGCCGACAGCGACGGCATCGTATCATTCGCCGCCTGGACACACCCGCCGGATCTTTATCCAGAATTCGACAGTGACGGCTTCTGGCACTCCAACACCATACCTGCAGCAGAAAGAACACGAGCATTAGCAGTCATCAGACAAGAAAGACAAGTACCCGCGAGTATCCCAACCAAACCATCACCTGCAGTAGCAGCAGCAGGACCCAGCCGAGTCCCACCACCGGCGATCAGAGGACCGCCAACCGAAGCAGACCAACTTATGCCCATCACACGAGAAGTTTGTCGAAGTCCCGCCACAGTCGTCGCGTTCTTCTCCAACGCCGACATATACCACCGCTCGCCGGGTCATCGCGCTTCCGACGACATCTGGCACCAACGCCTCGGGCATCCTGCAAACAACACGATACTACAAACAATCCAAGCAGAGGTGTTAGAACGCAACGCCCTCCTAACGACGAGCGGCCAAGTACTTCGACGACCACGAGCACGGTGCTTCACGTGCCCCGAAGCAGACCTTCCCCATCAGCCTTTTCCATCTCATCACAACCCAAGCGCACCTACATACGCACCGATGGAAAAAGTCTACAGCGATATCTTAAACATGCCTCGAGAAGACACCGAAGCCGACTTCAACTACGTCATCACGTTCATCGACGCAGCAACCAGATACGTCTGGCACTTCAATCTCAAGACGCGCGATCAAGCTTTCGACACCTTCACAACATGGCTTCCCATCGCCGAACGAGAATCAGGAACCAAGCTCAAGAGCTTCCAGTCAGACGGTGCACTGGAATACCAGTCACAACGCTTCAGGACCTATCAGGCGGAAAGAGGAATCAGACGCCTGGTGTCTCTGCCCTATGCTCACCAGCAGCAGGGGGTCGCAGAACGCATGAACCGGACCTTGCAGACGACGATGCGAAAACTGCTTCTGGGGATGAGGCTGCCCACCACACTGTGGCCAGACGCGATGACACATGCAGTTCACCTGCACAACCTGCTGTCCTCGTCATCGCTTCCCAACAACGCATCACCGCACCTGTTGTGGACAAGAAAAAGGGGCAGCACAAAATTACGCCGAGTTCTCGGCTGCATGGTACAGTACAGACCCCACACAGCCCGAGCAGGACGCTTCACACAACGAGCTCGGTGGGGACTACACCTCGGCATCGCCAAACATTTTCACGCATGGAAAATTCTCGACATACAAAACAAAAATACCGTGGCATCACGTGATGTTATCTTTTACGAGCGACTGACGCTGCAGCATTACCTGGACAACATTGCCAACACACAAGACCCCACCGACGGCTTCTCGTGCTGCCGAAGCTGACGCGGCAGAAGAAGACGTAACTGAAGCCTCGGAAGCTGCCGGACCACTCCCATTCTGTTCCGTACCTGTTCCACTCGACGAAGACAATCCTCTCGCTAGCAACAACCTGGACACCTTTTACCACTTCGCTGACCAAGGTTACATTACACCCCACCCAGTTGACACAAATGTTTCAGAACGCATCGGTCCCAACTTCTTACCTGACCCAGAAGACGGTGACGAAGTAGCTTATTCCGGGAATGAAAATTCCCCTCGACACACACCCACGGGACTGCAGATTCTAGGCCTCTAGGTCTCCGTCCAGCATCCGCCGCTGCCATCTCCGCTAGAGCCTTCGACCCTGTCGCAGGCTCTGGGGGGGGAATATAAGGTGAAATGGAAGGAAGCGATGGAAAAGGAGTTAAAGGCTCTGCAAGACCGGAAAACATGAAAAGTGGTACCTGCAACAAGCATCAACGGAAAAAACGTCCTCTCGGGGAAATGGGTGTACCGCATTAAGACCAACTCAGACGGCTCCATCGAACGATTCAAAGCTCGATGGGTCGTACGAGGCTTCGACCAACGATACGGGACCGACTACACAGAAACCTTTGCTCCAGTCTCCCGTCACACCTCATTACGCATCCTACTCGCCGTCGCGGCCACGAAGACATTACCACTACGCCAAATCGACGTCGCGAATGCGTTCCTATACGCACCTGTGGACGCCGAGATTTTCGTCGAACAACCCCACGGATACATCGACGACCCCACGAAAGTATGCCAACTGACAAAATCCCTATACGGGATCAAGCAAGCCCCGCGGCTCTGGCAGCAGCATCTCTTCGGCCGTCTCGCAAAAATCGGATTCCTACTGCTGCCGCATGACCAAGGGATGTACCGACTGCAGAAGGGAAGAGAGTATATCCTACTCATCGTCTACGTCGACGACCTGCTCTACATCGGCTCCACTACCGACATCGCCACCTGGTTCGAACGGGAGCTGAAAGAAGACTTAACACTCACGGTGTCCGACGAAGTGACCCAGTACCTAGGACTGAATGTCGTCGAAGACAACTCGGCGTTCTACCTACACGCTGAAAAGTACGCAGGAACCGTCGCGAAGAAATTCGGTCTAACACCGACTACGGTCCCAACTCCCTACCACTACGGGAACAACAACAGCACCTCCGCAAAACTCCCCGCGAAGCAAATCCAGGAGTATCAACAGAAGCTCGGCTGCCTACTATTCGCAGCGGTAACCTGCCGACCCGACCTGTCCTATAGTGCGAGTCAACTGGCAACGCATCTGAAGCAACCGGAACAGGAAGATCTCGAGGAGCTCAACCGCGCACTACTCTACTTCGTCTCCACGCCGACGATCGGGCTTACCTACAGCAAAGCGACAACACCGTCCGTACGACTACTCGGATACGTCGACGCCGACCACGCGGGAGATAGGGAAAATCGACGATCTAGGACGGGCTACATCTACCGACTAGAACCCATCGGAACTATCTCCTGGCAGTCGAGCAAGCAGGAGTTAATCGCACTATCCTCGGCTGAAGCAGTGTATATCGCCCTTTGTACTGCGACCAAGGAAGGACTCTACCTGCGGGAGTTACTCGAGGAAGCGAAGATCGCGACCCTGCCCGCCTTCTCACTCCTCTGCGACAACCAATCTGGGATCAAAATCGCGAACAAGGACGGCTTCGCCAACCGAACCAAGCACATCGCCCTGCGGTACTTCTTCGTCAAGGATGAAATCGCGAAGGGGAGACTTCAACTCAGTTACTGCCCGACGACAGAAATGGCCGCAGATTATCTGACGAAGAAATTGGCGAAAGCAAAATTCGACTACTGCATGCTCCTGACCGGGCAAAAAAACGTCACCAGATCTGAACACGCCAGCACTCCAGAAACGAAGGGGAGTGTTGGAAATATCTCAAAGGACTTAAGCGTTTCTGAAGTATAACACTGTACTCGAGGAAGATTACAGGGGAGCACGCGAGTCAACGGAGGTTGCACGAGGGGGCGGACAAAGAATGCGAAAAGACTCGAAAGGTCGCAACTGGAGGTTACGACTGACCGTTACAACATCACGGATGGTAACCGAAGCGGCAATCGAGTCGCTGTGCGACTCGATAAACCGTTCCTGTAACTGTATTCTACAACTGCTTTCTTATCTTCTATATATTGCTGTATGCTTGTTTCTTTAATCAATCACTTGTTCTCATATACTAGTACAAGGGTTCAACTGCCTCAACTTCCGCTGCACTACTCAAGTCTCATTCTACAACTGGGACTTAGTCTCTGGAAAGATCCTAAGGGCTTTTTCTCAGCCCAATAGACGGGAAACACATGACGTACGATGGGAAACGTGGCTCAGGAAAAATTGCAAGCAGCGCACCACCTGTCGCCCAGGCCCCACTGCCTGTAAGCTGCACCAAATGGGCCCAACTCGAATTTCAAGTTGGACCGAGGTTCACTACTCCGGCAAAAACGAGGCTGGGCCCCGATTGGTCGAAATGCTAACTGCGCGAATCTGTGGTCGTAAAATCTATCGCCAGTGCAAAATGTCGCAAGTGCAATTCGATTTCGTGGCCTACAGCTTGATAAAAAACGCGGGCTGCTGCCTACCCCTCCAAAAACTTATTCACTGTTGGGTCGTTTCTAGTTGGGCCCAACTAGAAAGAGGGGTCACTATTATAACCTCTCGCTTTAACATGGCTGCACAGCAGTTGTCTTCGATCGTAAATATTTTTACGTCAACAACTACAGCGTGTGCGCTAGTTTCTGCCCCGTACTGACCGCCATGGCCCCGGTAGACTCGACGGTTGAGGAACAGACGACCTCGACTGCTGCGAACTCTGCCCGGGAAACAGTAGACCTGCAAGCATTAATGGAGCAGTTGAACAATTTGACAAGCGCCGTCAACAACCTCCGCGACGAAAACCAACGACTTCGCCAGGCGCAAGAAAGGCGTCCAGAGAAGCCGGGCAACGATGCACGAAGCGAGGCGTGTGAGCAGCAACCGACGTCAGTGGAGCTGGCACGACTAGCGGCAACAGCCCCGCGCTCGACAAGTGGCGGCGTGAGATATCAGCAACCCGCTCCTTTCGACCTAGCTAATAAAGGCGTGACGGTGCGGCAGTGGATATTCGCTATGAATATCTATTTTAACGCGGCGGGCATTTGAGACGATCAGAAGCGGATCAGCCATGCGTTGACAGTGCTGCAAGGGGCCGCCCTACAGTGGTGGAAGGTCATCGTCGACTCAGCGGCAACTCGCACGGAAGGACAGCATGAGTGGTCCGAAGAATTCGGCGATGAAGACGAGGCAGATTTGCTCTTTGGTGCAACTCACATTCGCACGTGGGAAACGTGGTGCGCAGAGCTTCGCAAGCGATTTGAGCATGCTCCTGACTCAGACAAAGCGCGCGAGACTTTACGCATGTGGAAGCAGCTCGGATCTGTGCCCGACTACACCGCGTCATTCTTGACGTTGGTGGATCGATGTGGCTACATGCACGAGTTGGAGAAGGTCGACAGGTACATGGGCGGGCTGAAGCCTGAAATACAGTACCAAATAAAATTACAACGACCTGCGAAGCGGTTACAGGACTTCATCCAACTCGCCGAAGCCGCTGATTCGCTCACGAAGCCGAGGACGAACGTCTACGACGGAGGTCGCCCTCGAGAACAGTACCAGCGCGCCACGATAAAAGGAATGGATGCAGTGGATATTTACGCAGTTGCTCCGCGCGATACGGGGCTATGCTACCACTGTGGCCGACCGGGTCACATCAAACGCAACTGCCAAGAGCTCCTAGCCATCCAGAATTCTATGGGGAAGAAGGCGGAGGAGCGACCGGGAAATAGGTCGCGTCAGAGAGTACCGGGCCCCTTACTGACGGGCAGGCTTCTTCGCCCGAGCCACATAGTCCCCACCGGGTCGTGATCCCGATTGCTGCAATCGACCGGACCCGGACGAATAAGGGGGACGAAACTGCAGATCACCCTGTGTTGGTGGAGGGAAAGTCAACGGGGTGTTGCTGAAAATATTTGTGGATGGAGGCGCGAGTCACAGTCTCATACAGTTGGATAGGGCTAAGAAAATGGGTATCCTTGTATTAAAGTGTCTACCCGAAATTGATGCACGACTGGTGGATGGAACACCGCTGGCAATATGAGAGCGGGTGGAGCACGTCAGTTTCCACTACGGCAAGCACGTAAAATTTCGGAAAGGGCTGCTGGCGACCACACTCGACGGGTGCGACGTGCTGCTGGGACGGGATTGGCTGCGACAGTACAACGCGAGAATCGACTGGACGACGGGCAGCTGCAGCATAAAAATCGATGGGCACTATCGTGAGTTACCGAAATGGACAGGACCCCGCATGCGAAGTACTCAAGTCCACGCGATAACTTTCAAGCACGCGATAAAGGCGGGAGCTGCAGCGTACGTCATTGATCTTCGCGAAGTAACGACTCCGACAACAGCGGAAGATATCGCGAAGCTGTGTGAAGCCGTTCCTCCGGATTTAGCGGACCTGATTCGAAAATACCCCGAGATTTTCCCGGACGACCTACCATCGGGACTTCCGCCAAGCCTACCCGAAGACCATCGCATCGAGCTGGAACCAGACGCACAACCGACAGTACATCGACAATTTCGGCTCAGCCAACCGGAACTCGAAGAATTGCAGCAGCAGTTAGATTACCTCCTGACGAAGGGATTTATCTGACCCAGCACGTCCCCATACGCCGCCCCCATATTGTTCATGCAGAAAAAGATGGCGGATTCCGCATGTGCATCGACTACCGCGCCCTCAACAGGATCACCATCAAGTCGCGTTACCCGATCCCACTAGCTGACGAACTACTCGACCAACTTCGCGAAGCCAAGTACTTCTCGAAAATCGATTTGTGAGGGGGTTACCACCAAATTCGCGGCGCCGTCGAAGACTGTCACAAAACCGCCTTCCGAACCCGCTACGGCAGTTACGAATACCTGGTGATGCCTTTTGGCCTTACGAACGTGCCTTCAACGTTCCAAATGACCATGAACGACATTTTCAGGGAGCTCTTGGATAAATGTGTTATTATCTACCTCGATGACATACTAATCTACAGCCGCAGCAGGGAGCAGCACTTACGAGATCTTGATGCAGTCTTCACGCTGCTGCACAAGAATCGCCTCATCACAAAAGGGTCTAAGTGCGACTTTCTTAAGCAGGAGTTGGAGTTTTTGGGCCACGTCGTTTCTACCGAAGGAGTGAAAATCGACCCCAAGAAAATCAAGACCATACAGGAATGGAAGCCGCTGACCAACCTCAAAGAACTACAGGGTTTTCAGGGTTTCGTCAACTACGTCCGCCGTTTTATCCCAAATATAGCTAGGTTATCGGCCCCGCTAACCGACCGACTGAAGGACCACAACTGTTTTTGGTGGGGAGAGAAGCAGCAAGCTGCATTCGACCAACTCAAGATCGCCCTCACGTCGCCGCCCGTCCTTCGCATCTCCGATCCCGACCGTCCATACGAAGTCGTCACCAACGCCAGCGACATCGCCATCGGTGCAGTTCTCCTACTGGATTTCGACGACGGGTTACAGCCAGTCGCCTACGAATCACGGAAGCTGCAGGGCGCACAGAAGAACTATACAGTGCACGATAAAGAAATGTTGGCAATCGTCCACGCGTTCAAAACCTGGCGGTGCTACCTGACAGGCGCTGACGTCACAGTGCGAACTGACCACAAGTCCTTACAATACCTGCGCGCCCAACCGAATCTCAACCCGCGACAGATCCGATGGCTCGATTTCCTCGAGTCGAATTTCCATTACACCATCACCTACAAACGAGGGGCAAATAATATTGCCGATGCCCTGACTCGCCCCACTGCCCATACTGCCGCTATACTAGTCGCCCAGACAAACCCATTACTTACGGGACTATTCACCCACAGCTACAAGATCGATCCCTTTTTCCGCTCCGCTATCCATCAACCGCCACCGGACCTTATTTTAATAAGCGCGGTAATTCTCACCTCTGGGTGCCCGGCTACAATTTACTTCGTACCCTCCTAATCCAGGAATCCCACGACAACCCTACCTCTGGGCATTTCGACGTCGACAAAACCTTGAAGATGCTGCAGAGGAATTATTACTGGCCGAACATGGCCGATGACGTGCGCAAGTACGTGTCCTCCTGCACTGCCTGCCAGATTATGAAATCGTCGCATCAGCGAGCAGCCGGACTACTACAGCCGTTGGATCCGCCTGAGCGACCCTGGCAACACGTCACGATGGATTACGTGACAGGACTGCCGGCCGGTCCCAGCGGAAACGACGCCATCCTCGTGGTTGTCGACCGACTCACGAAGATGGCGCACTTCATCGCCTGCCAACAGATAATCACAGCCGAACAAACTGCGCAACTGTTCCTCGCGAACGTCATCCGACTGCACGGACTGCCCTCCGCCATCATTTCAGACCGAGACCCGAAATTTACATCAAATTTCTGGCGTCACCTGTGGGACCAGTTCGGCACCAAACTCCAATTTTCCTCCGCCTACCACTTACAGACCGACGGGCAGACCGAACGCGTCAACCAGACCATGGAGCAACTCCTTCGAACTACCTGTACTGACCCATCGACATGGGAAAAATCTCTCCCACTGCTGGAGTTCCCGTATAACAACGCATCCTCCGCCACAACCCATCAGTCCCCATTTTTCCTCAATTACGGACAGGACCCCGTGGTACCCTCTACCCCGAACATCGAGACACCCGTACCCCGGTCCCGGAAATTTGCTGAAGACATTCTCGCCGCCCACGAAAAGGCCGCTGAGGCAATCAGGAAAGCCAATCTGGTCGCAAGCCGACAATCCGTTCGACATCGACGTGACGTCACTTACAAAGTGGGAGATCTCGTCCTCCTCGACACTCGCAATTTGCGGCTGCCGATCCCGAGCAAACTCCGACCCAGATTCTGCGGACCTTTTCCAGTGACCAACCTGGTGACACCTGTCACTGTTCACCTTCGATTACCGGCTGATTAGCGCCACCACCTGGCCTTCCACGTCAATCTTCTCCGACCCTACGTCCCGAGTTCGTCGGCCTTGGCACAAAACTGCGGTGTCCCGCAGCTAACGCTTTTGCAGGAACCGATGACCGAGCCTTTGAAAATTTTGGGACATCGCGTCACAACGCAGCTGAACCGTCGGATGGTTGACTTCCTCGTCCGCTGGCGCGATCGCACGTCCGAAGACGACAGCTGGGTGCCCCTTGCTGACTTAGAATCACATCCGATTCTAACGGCATATTATCAGCGTCGGAATGTCTCCGATGCCTATGGACTCGTTTAGGAGGGGGGGGTAGTGTAAGGAATTGTCATTCCTTACTGCGTCGACCGCTACCGCGTACACCCGAACATCTCGACTCGTCACGTTCGGCCTTTATTTTCGGCCCAACCCTTTCCCGAGTCGTGTCCGATACTGTCGCCACATTGCCGAACCTACTCACGTTCCGAGGTTATCGCCCTAGTACGCCTATTCCTATATAACCTCACGTTATAGTACATTGACATCTTCTAAATCATAACAAGAAACCACTGTCGCACGCCAAAAGGTCGGGAAACAATTGACGCGCGTGCGCCACCCCCTGCCGATTCCGCCCATGCCCCCGACACACAAAGCGTTTGGACGGAAGGAAACTTGAAACTGCGCGCATACATTTTGGGACTTCCCGTGTGCATAACCCAGCCCAGCGCCACCACGCTGAAGGCAGTGTGTGCACCACACACAGCTGACCTGCCTTACATGAAGTGTCCAAGACACAGGACCTCAATTTACTCCAAATACTTCCCATCCCCGAAAGCCCGACTCACAAGAACAGGCCCCGCATTAGCATTCCCGCGACTGCCAAATCGCACCGTCAAATCGCACCGTCTAATCACACCGTCAAATCGCACCGTCAAATCGCACCGTCAAATCGCACCGTCAAGTCGCATCGTTTCAAACACCCGCTATTCCAAGCGATTTCTACCCGCGGGCCAGAAAACAACGTCGCCTAAATCCGCGCCGGTATCAGCCTGGCATCCAGCAGCAGAAACTGGAGGAATCAGCTCGAGCAGTGCGACGAGGGAGTAAGGGATAGTAAACGGCGAGAAAGGTACCCCTTGCAAATGCGGCTTCATTACCCAAGGCGGCGCGTGAGGGCCGTGGGTCAGCCGCCATGCGCCTTCTCCCTCCCACGCACGCATTTCTCGTTTTTTCCGCGCCGTCAGTTCTCATTCTCGCTAGTGCTTTTCAGTCTACCAGATGGTGCCTTTGCATGTGTGTAGCTCGTTACGCAAATCAGATTTCCAAATTGCTCGTTTCGGGTTTACTCCAAGCATCTCCTTCCCCCACTGCCTTCTCTCCCCATCCGCCTCCCTTGTCACAGGGCGTTTGAGTGCCGCAAGTTGTGGCAGCAGCGGGAATCAGAACACAGGAGCAGAGGAGCAGCGGATCAAGAGAGCATGGAACCACGCATCACAAAAATATGTGCATTTGAATATCATCTGACGTTCCGAGCTAGGCGCTATCGTCTGTTAACCGTCTTTGAACTATTCGAGATTCATCTGTTTCCCAAGTCGATGGCTTCAAATGATTGGGAAATGAAATCTATTTGTAAAAAAAATGTCGTGATCTGCGTGTTCAGGCACGAGTGGTTGGTAGTACGGCAGTCATGGGTAGAGTTGATCGGTGAAGAGTCGGGTTCGATTCTTGCAATGATTAGAAACTGAAACATTCTATTTGTTTTTCTGATTTTCCCGCAGAGTTGGATATGTAGGTGTATACTCCTTAGTGTTATACAATATCAGTGTCAGCGGTAGATATTTGGGTGAATGTGAAATAAATGCATAATCTAGCAGTCATGATTTTAATATAAGTCTGTTGACATGAAATTTCATGCATCAATTTGAAGGCATCAGTGTCAAGCGGGATGATGTGAAATGTCATCATGCATCAATTTGAAGGCATAATCTAGCAGTCATGATTTTAATATAAGTTTGTTGTCATGAGGTCGCCCTAAAGTTGCTTGCTGCAAGCAACTAGAACTATTCCACTTGGCAATTCACCACACAAATCTGTTCAGCAAGCGCACATCAGGATCCTTGCAGCACGGGACAACATGAACAAGGCTCAGGATGCAATCTGCATCCATGATCGCATAGTTGTCGACACCCCTCGTTGGCAGGAGCCGTCGGCATCCAGTGACGTGGCACACCTGCCTGTCCTCTGTGTAGTACTCAATGTAGGCAGCCTGCTTCGTTGCCCCGTCTTTGTCGTAGTGGAACAGAACCAGACAGCGGCCGTACCAGTTGGCCCCCTTCCCCGCAGGGTTTATGGCCACGTCAGAGAAGTTCCGCTGTGACGGGCTCGCTTTGACAAATTGGCCCTTGGCTGTCCATTCCATCCTGTCGTGTGGAGGGATGGCAAGTGCGGTGTGCACCTGGAACACCGCATGGGAAGGGACATGGGCCAATGGTGGACTTTTACAGTAATGAGCTTCTGAGGGCATGGGTATTGGGCAGCTGATGGTTTACAAAGGCACAAGTTGCCATCAGAATCATTCAAGGACATTCACAGGGGATAGTTTGACTGGGCTGCTCAAGGCAACTTCGTACCTGAAGGACCTGGGTCTTCACGCCCGCCAGCTTGAGGTGGGACGCCATTTGGTCCATCGCAGGTTTCCCCAGGACCGCGACGTAGCTCCTCCACATTGGATCCGTGCTATCCCCCACCACCATCCTCTTGTGCGTCTTGGTCAGCACCCTACGGCCCACGGTGCACGCCTGGGGTTATGACAGAAGGGGATAACGGGGTGGAAAGGGGGACAGAGGGCCGTGGATGAGAGCTGCAGGGCTGAAATCAAATGCAGAGTTAGGGGTTATGCAGAGCGGAGGGAAAAGCACACCTGGGGGAAAAGCAGAGCTAGGGATGCGCAGCGAAGGAAAATCCAGAGCTGAGGGGTATCCAGAGCTGAGTGAAATGCTGAGCTGACGGTTATGCTGAGCTGAGGGTTATGCAGAGTTGAGGGAAATGCAGAGCTGGGGAAAATGCAAATCAGAGGAAATCCAGAGGTGAGGAACATGCAGGGCTCGGAGGTGGACATGGAGAGCTGACGGGTGTGCAGGGCTGAGGGAAATGCAGAGCAGGGGGGAATGTACAGTTGGGGGGAATGCAGGGCTAGGGGAAATCCTGAGTTGATGGATATCCAGAGCAGAGGGGAATCCAGAGCCGAGGTGGGGGGAATGCATAGCAGAGGTAAATCCAGAGCAAAGGGGCAATCCAGAGCGGAGGGAGGAGCAGAGCTGGGTGGGGGCCATGCAGAGATGGGGGGAATGCAGGGCTGGGGGGAATGCAGGGCTTGGGGAAATGCAGAGCTGATGGAAATCCAGAGCTCAGGGAAAGGCACAGCTGAGAGAAATGAGAAGCTGGGGGTAATACACAGCTGAGGGAAGTCCAGATCACTGGGGCAATCCAGAGCTGAGGGACATGCAGGGCTGGGAGGGGGACATTCAGAGATGGGGGGAATGCAGGTCTGGCGGAAATGCGGAGCTGAGCGTTATGCATAGTTGGCGGGAAAGCATAATTGAGGGAAGTTCAGAGTTGTGCGAAATCCAGAGCCGAGGGAATTCCAGAGCCGAGGGAAATGCAGAGCAGAGGGTTATGCAGAGCTGGGGGAAATGCATAGATGAGGGAAACGCAGGGCTGAGGGAAAAGCAGAACCGGGGGGAATGCAGAGCTGATGGAATTCCAGCGGTGAGGGAAATGCAGGGGTGGGGGAAAGACAGTGCTGGGGGGAATGCAGGGTTGGGGGAAATGCAGAGATGGGGGGAATGCAGGTCTGGCGGAAATGCAGATCTGAGAGAAAGGAAAAGCTGGGGGGTTTCAGGGGTTGAGGGAATGGCTGAGCTGGGGGAATGCAGGGTTGCGGGGAATGCAGTGCTGAGGGAAATGAGGTGAGGGAAATGCAGAGGTGAGGGGAATGCAGGGTTGGGGGAAATGCAGAGCCGAGGGAAAGGCAGAGCTGGGGGGAATGCAGGGTTGGGGAAATGTAGAGCTGAGGGAAATGCAGAGCCAAGGGAAATGCAGAGCCAAAGGAAATCAAGAGGTGGGGGGAATGCATAGCCGAGGGAAATCCAGAGCTGAGGGGAATGCAGAGCTGGGGGGAATGCAGAGCTGGGGGGAATGCAGAGCCGATGGAAATCCAGAGCTCGGGGAAAGGCAGAGCTGAGGGAAATGAGGAGCTGGGGGTAATACACAGCTGAGGGAAATCCAGATCACTGGGGCAATCCAGAGCCGAGGGACATGCAGGGATGGGTGGGGGACATGCAGAGATGGGGGGAATGCAGGTCTGGCGGAAATGCAGATCTGAGAGAAAGGAAAAGCTGGGGGGGATGCAGGGGTTGAGGGAATGGCTGAGCTGGGGGAATGCAGGGTTGCGGGGAATGCAGTGCTGAGGGAAATGAGGTGAGGGAAATGCAGAGGTGAGGGGAATGCAGAGCTGGGGAGTAATCTACATCCGAGGGAAATGCATAGCTGAGAAAAATGCAGTGCTGAGAAAATGGCAGAGCTGGGGGGAATGCAGGGTTGGGGGAAATGCAGAGCCGAGGGAAAGGCAGAGCTGGGGGGAATGCAGGGTTGGGGAAATGTAGAGCTGAGGGAAATGCAGAGCCGAGGGAAATGCAGAGCCGAGGGAAATGCAGAGCCAAGGGAAATCAAGAGGTGGGGGGAATGCATAGCCGAGGGAAATCCAGAGCTGGGGGGAATGCAGAGCTGGGGGGAATGCAGAGCTGGGGGGAATGCAGAACCGATGGAAATCCAGAGCTCAGGGAAAGGCAGAGCTGAGGGAAATGAGGAGCTGGGGGTAATACACAGCTGAGAAAAATCCAGATCACTGGGGCAATCCAGAGCCGAGGGACATGTAGGGATGGGTGGGGGACATGCAGAGATGGGGGGAATGCAGGTCTGGCGGAAATGCAGATCTGAGAGAAAGGAATAGCTGGGGGGGATGCAGGGGTTGAGGGAATGGCAGAGCTTGGGGAATGCAGAGCTGAGGGGAATGCAGAGCTGGGGAGTAATCTGCAGCCGAGGGAAAGCACAGCTGGGGGGAATGCAGAGCCCGGGAGGAATGCAGAGCTGGGGGGAAGGCAGAGCTGAGGAAAAGGCAAGATTTTGAATAGTAGCCGCACCTCCTTCATTGCGGTCTCGTAAGTCTTGTCACCGCCAACCTCGCGAGACAGCTGGCGAACCACAGCATGCTGCACATGCTTCTTGACAATGCGGTCCCCGACGTTCTTCCAGTTCGTTCCACGGGCGGGGCGCTTGACAGTTGTCTTGTGAGAGTGCTCGTACGTGTTGGATGAGTACTCCTGTGGCAGGCCACGCGCTCGGATGGTGGCAGGCAGGTGAACGAGGAGATGGATCTTCACAATGTGCCACTTGGACTTCTGGTTAGGGAAGGCCTTCACGAGCGCCTTTACCATGCTGATGTGGGGGGAGGGGTGTTGGGGGGGAGGCATAGGGGAAGGAGCAAAAGATCAGAGATATCCCAGGACTAGTCTGGAGTTTGATGCAAAGCAGAGTTTCATTCAAGGGTCTGAACAACCTTATGGCCTTACACGACAGTCGCTGTCTCCATGCGGATGAGGGATGCATCAGTGTGATACTCTGCACGGATGAACTCCTTGTACCAGTCCGCGATGCGGACGATGGCGCGACGAATGTGAACCCTTTCGGGAAGGTCGATGATGAGTGGCAAGACCTGCATCATGGCACGGTGCTCAGATGCTGAAAAATTCGCTGTGGTTGTGAAGTACACCCAGGCTTGGGGCAGGCGCAAAAGGGACGCCGGTGTGATTGCCTTGAGCAACTTGTATCGCCTGACACGTAGGACGGGATGGAAAGGGACAGCAGGGGCCGACATGCTTCGGTAAATCTGGTGCACAGTGGCTGACCTCCAAGTTTAGAAGACGTCGTCACGGAATATATGGTGAAAGTGAATGCACAGCGAAGGGAGGGTTGTGGGGAGGGAACAGAGGACTGGCCGGATGAATGGGGGGGAAGTTTGGGCCGTAGGGTGGACGGGAGGAGGGGGGTTGGGTTTGGGCGGGCAAGCCAAGTGGCAGGGGAGATATGGACAGAGAGACCCACTTACTCTAAAAGGATCTTCCGTTCAGACGGGGTGAGCTTCTTCACAAGACACTTCATTGCATGCAGCCAAAAACCCTGCTCAATAATATGCATGATGTCAGGTGTGACGGCGAGATACGTGTTCCCCCAAATCGTTTTTGCGAACTCCCAGTCCCACAGAAGACTCTGAAATATTGGGGCGCAGGGAAGGAGACGTTTGGGGAATGGGGAGAGAGCATGCCAAAAGCAGGCCATAAACAACATGCAAGTAGAGATGCGGGGGGGGAGGAGGTATAAGCGCGTGCAACAGGGGGTCCGAATCATCCAACCCTACTCAGCAGCCCATGTGTTGCTCACAAGTATGCATTCCGCTATGGCTGGAGGGAACAGTAGTACCTTGACAAAGTGCGTCGAGTAGGTGGTCCTCAATGCGGACAGCTTCTTCTTGGTGGTGGCGGACTCCATCTGCTTGTACAAGCGCCCTTGATCACGCACTGTTCGCAAAACAATCGGGTCTTCCACCTCCGCAAGCCTCGGCTTTTCAGCAAGGCATATGGAGCATGGCCGGAAGGAGTTGCATGCCATTGTGCACGTGACTTTGCAAGACTCAGGGTGATCTGTAACGTACGCGTAGAGAAGCGGGAAAGCTCGATAGCACACCCCAGCGCTGTCTTCCACCTCCAAGCCTCCCCTGCAGCCAAAGGCATTGACACAGCATGATGGAAGACATTATACAAAGTCAAACGGAACACGTCCGCAAGACGGGGCGATTTGCTTTCACAGACGAGCGATGAAATCACTCCGAGCTCTGAGATCGGCGTTGGCCAGGCAGGGGGAGGGCCTGCGGCAGACCCGTTGCCGCAGGGGCAAGGGCCGGTGTCAAGGCAGCAGCGAACGACTTTGGCTCAGAGCAGCCCCCCCAAGTTGGGTGCTTCCTGGAAGCATCTGTTGGGGGCGGGGAGGCGCCTCAAGGGGTGGAGCAGCAGCGGCGTTGTGACAACAATGCGGGAGGGTGACAGTAACGAGTTGGCTGTGCGATACAACAGCTTGGGTGCCGCTGAGTCGGGCGCGCGGCACAACAGCATTGGAAGCCAGGATCATGCAAGAACAGGAACCCTGCCACGTGGCATGGTGACGTCAGCAGGGGGGAGGAGCAGGAGGGGAATGTGTCGGTCCTTGTCTCTCAGCCATGGGTTGCTGCCGGCTGTAGCTGCTAGCATTGTGGGAGGTGACGCACATGCAGCTGACGCTTCGGAGCAGCCCTCCCAACCCTCCGAGCATTTGTCAGTCGGTCCAAATCTCAAGGCACATGTCTCGCTTGGCGGCCAGAATCCGTCACCTGACGGATTTGGGTCACCTGACAGCCCGCCGCCCCCCTGGGCCCCTTTGACTACTGCCCTGCTCTGCAAGCGCAACCCGCCCCTGCAGCAGATGGAACGACCATGGGGACACGGACGGGAGCGGATGGGATGCAGAAAAAGGTGGCACTGCAAGGAAAGGCATGATTGCAGGGTTTGGGTGACATGCATTTGTGAGATGCGAAGATGGGAAGGTGAGAAGTTTCGGGGGATTGGCTTGATCGGATCATAGCAAACAAACGACTCACCCTTTCAGTTTTGAGAGCCGCCTCAACGGCTCGATGAAAATGTCTGCAGCTTGCTGGAAGGCGCGTGTCTTCTCTTCCGGCTTCAGATCTGGAGGGATGTTCGGCAGGAGGCCAACCAGCTCCGTGCCACCCTCGAGCCACCTTGCCCACTCCGGGATGTTCCCCATGGACATCACAAAGGGATGTGCTGACTGGCGACCGTTGTACGACAAGTTGGTTTGATCGGAGAACAGAATGATCGCCAGTACTATGCCCAGCTTCTTCACACGCTCCTGCCAATGGGGGTGTCACAACATAGGTACACAACAATGAGCATCGAGCTTGCACTTAGTAGAGGCAAAGGTTGCAGGGATTGCTGCGGCTCTTACCCATGCCATGAGCATCCAATCTGTGTTCTGCGGGGTGCTGTATCGGCGTTCGCCATCGACCACCCACTCCTCGGGTTCAATCGCGAAACCACTGACGGCCGACATCGTCTTGAACATGGCCAGCAGAACCTGCGGCCATGAGGAGCAAATGGCGTCAGTGCAGCCGAGCATTAGGGCGGAGGTCAGCGGTGGGCAAGAACGACATACCTTGACGATGCTTCGGTGCTTGAAGGTCAGGAAGCCAACTTCGTGATCGATCTCGATCTCCGCCACATGCCATTCGTTCTCCTCTCCCACCTCGCAGTCCTGTTCGAATTTCTCGAGGTCCCTGTAACTGTTCCATCCCTCCAATTGACCTTGCTGCAGAGCAGGATGCCTGAAGATCTGTATCAACGAGGAAATCGCAGCATTGGTAAAGCCGTGAGTCCTGGACAATATGCATAACTCGGCTCTAAGGTCGAAAACCTCTTCTTCCGGTTCTGTAACCACCAAAACGGATTCTGGGCGTGTAGGTTCTGGGCGTGTAGGTTCTGGGACTGGCACAACAACGTCAGGACGTGGATGCAGCCCGTACGCAGCGTCAGTCAACGGTATCCTAAGATCCGGGCGAGGGAGCCTGGATGCCAGCAAACCGGGAAAACTGTGCGGATCACAGTCGGTTCGCCTGAGCTTTGCGTTTCGCTTATCCTCCTCGGCTTTGCGTTTCTGCTTCAGCTTACACTTGTCGTCATTTGCCTGGTGGCTTCTTAGGGTTTGGTAGCAGAAAAATGCCTTCTTACAAAACTCACACGGTTGAGCGGACATGAGGGACGATGTGAACGTGCGACACAGCGAAAAGGTAGGGGAAGGGGGCTGTGCCACTGTGGTGCACCACTCGCACCAGCGCTGTTATTTGCGAACTTATCTTCGCAGTCGCACGGGCATGTGGTAACGGGATGTTGTGGGGCCGCAGTGCGACACACGTCATTTTTACACTGCACCGCGTTTCTTACAAAAGTATTCGCCAATTACAGCACGGCAATACACACTTGTGCTCGCGGTGCGGAATCCCTCCAATCACTCAATTTACTGTTTGGCGCCAATGTTACTCGTTGATGTTGAGCATGTTGTATCTGAACCGTTGAGCGTCACTGCACTGTTTTGGACCTTTTGGGCGACAGGCTCGGCAAACGGTTTGGTTGTGACAGCTTCTGTCATATTGCGTGGCGACCGAAGCTCGGCAGCTTCGCGTACCTGTTATGCCAGCAAGTGTTGGCGGACATCAACGCGTCCCCCACATGCCAAACCTAAAAAACCTCACCAATTGGAACCACCTTCGAACGTTAGCCACCGGTAACCAGCAACTCCGCGACACCTTTGGGTGTCGCAATAACAGATTGCGAAGTGAGGCGACGCACTAACAGTGTGCCCTATTAGAGCGATCCAACGAACGAAGCCTAAAAAATTCCGGGCACGCTGGGCAAGTTGGAAACTAATCTCAACAGCGAGCAAACTGCAGGAAACACTACACTTCGTAAGCATACAGTACCAGACTTGTCACGACATAAACCCCTGTGACCCAGAACGCAGCACGCAGCTTGTGCCCAAACAAATATAGGGCAGGAGTCTGCCATGAGCCAGCCACTTCAACAAGCTTAGTATGCTGAAGGAAGCCCATGCTATCGAAACCTGGACAGAATCCAGCTTTCTAGATTCCATCGCAAAATACAGATTACCCAGTTTGTAGAACAATACAGCAGGCCTAGTACTACCTATGACGATGCACAAGTTCCACCCTCTTAGCATGCCCTTCCCTTTTGGCGGCGGATGGCTGGAAATCGGCGAAAGGCATTACAAGACGCTTAGGCGCTCGAATTGGTTAAGCGGCGTCGTGATAGAGTGGCTCGGTTTGTGAGTATTTCAGAACCAAATATGCAACATGACCTGGAATACGGGCGGGTTGTTTGGACTCTGACGTGTGTGTTTGTATGTCGCCGGCAGGATGTTGCAGTATGAGCTTGGGAGGTGCGATACGTCTTGGCTTTACACGTCAACCTATTTCTGGCAGTTCGCGGATAGACCATGCGGGAAGTCTACGAACCCGTACTCCTACGGAAAGAACGTCCTAGACTACAACCACGTGGTCGTGCCCATCAACAAAGAGTGAGATGCGTTGTTGTTTCTCACGGATTCATACTATTCATGGTATTGCCCTTGATTTCACTCCTACACCACATCTAGCTTACTTATCGCGACCCGCACTCACAGTGGACATTGGAGCTTGGCGGTTATCGAAAACATCAAATCCCCAGGGGAGAAGGTACCTTACTGTTGCACGATATGGCATGCGGATTCCTACGGATTACACACCGACATTGACCTGCCCTTGCGAACGTGAGTCATGTGTACAGGCCGTCCGCTTCTTTGTTCTCCTGGGCAGACGTCAGTATGGTAGTCACGAATTACCATCACGCTGTGCAGTTATTTGAGGAGCCAGGTTCTTCGCGAAAGCTCATGGATTTTGGAGACAGATGCAGACACCTGGGCGGCAAGCATTCCATGCAGGACTATACAGGTGCTTTTTTAGGCATTGGCCTTGGCAGTCGCATTGTCGAATGTGTCCCTCAGTCTCCAGGTTATCCCGTATCTCAGCACCCAGCTATGCACTTACCACAGCTATGCACTTACCTCATCTATGCATCTACCACAGCTATTCACTTACCTCAGCTATGAACTCACCTCAGCGATGCAATTACCTCAGCTGTGCATTTACCACATCTATGCACTTACCACAGCTAAGCACTTACCACAGCTATGCACTTACCACAGCCATGCACTTACCTCGGCTATGCATTTACGTCACCTATGCACTTACCTCATCTATGCATCTACCTCAGCTATGCACTCACCTCAGCTATGCAATTACCTCAGCTGTGCATTTAACACACCTATGCACTTACCACAGCTATGCACTTACCACAGCTATGCACTTACCACAGCTATGCACTTACCTCGTCTATGCACTTACCTCGGCTGTGCATGTCCTTCAGATTGCATTTCGCCGAGCGATGCATACGGCACTCTGCTTTTCTTGCTAGGCTCTGCATTTCACTGAGCTTTGTCTTTACCTCAGCTCCGCATGTCTCTCAGCTCTGCACTCTCCCCAACACTGCACCTCTATGCACTTACCACATCTATGCACTTACCACAGCCATGCACTTACCTCGGCTATGCATTTACGTCACCTATGCACTTACCTCATCTATGCATCTACCTCAGCTATGCACTCACCTCAGCTATGCAATTACCTCAGCTGTGCATTTACCACATCTATGCACTTACCACAGCTATGCACTTACCACATCTATGCACTTACCACAGCCATGCACTTACCTCGGCTATGCATTTACGTCACCTATGCACTTACCTCATCTATGCATCTACCTCAGCTATGCACTCACCTCAGCTATGCAATTACCTCAGCTGTGCATTTACCACATCTATGCACTTACCACAGCTATGCACTTATCACATCTATGCACTTACCACGGCCATGCACTTACCTCGGCTATGCATTTACGTCACCTATGCACTTACCTCATCTATGCATCTACCTCAGCTATGCACTCACCTCAGCTATGCAATTACCTCAGCTGTGCATTTACCACATCTATGCACTTACCACAGCTATGCACTTACCACATCTATGCACTTACCTCATCTATGCATCTACCACAGCTATTGACTTACCTCAGCTATGCAATTACCTCAGCTGTGCATTTACCACATCTATGCACTTACCACAGCTATGCACTTACCACAGCTATGCACTTACCACATCTATGCACTTACCTCATCTATGCATCTACCACAGCTATTGACTTACCTCAGCTATGCAATTACCTGAGCTGTGCATTTACCACATCTATGCACTTACCACAGCTATGCACTTACCACAGCTATGCACTTACCACAGCTATGCACTTACCACAGCTATGCACTTACCTCGGCTATGCATTTACGTCACCTATGCACTTACCTCATCTATGCATCTACCTCAGCTATGCAATTACCTCAGCTATGCATTTACCACATCTATGCACTTACCACAGCTATGCACTTACCACAGCTATGCACTTACCTCATCTATGCATCTACCACAGCTATTCACTTACCTCAGCTATGAACTCACCTCAGCGATGCAATTACCTCAGCTGTGCATTTACCACATCTATGCACTTACCACAGCTATGCACTTACCACAGCTATGCACTTACCACAGCTATGCACTTACCTCGGCTATGCATTTACGTCACCTATGCACTTACCTCATCTATGCATCTACCTCAGCTATGCAATTACCTCAGCTGTGCATGTCTCTCAGCTCTGCACTCTCCCCAACACTGCACCTCTCTCAGACCTGCATTTGCGTTGACTGGCTGTCTTTTACCCGTCACTGCAGGTGCCGTTGCAGCAGAACGAGAATGATTGTGGAGTGTTCGTTATGCGGGTGATGCATACTCTGGTGGAGGAAAGGTTCCAGTGCCTGCAGTCCTGTGACCTTGTTGGAAGCCCGAGAATGTGGAGGAGGCAGTATAGACGTGACCTGGCGGAGTGGTCTTTCCACTTCAATACGCATGCACAGATTTAGAATTCGTCGCCTCTCCATTCGTTTTTTGGAAATGGTTGAACTCTGGAGGGTATCATGCAATGGGATCGGATCCACACAAGTGTCCGGACCAGCTACTTAACAAGCCCTTTTAACTCAGCGGTTAGTGACTAAGTTTCTAACAACAAGTCATACATGCACAAACTGAATCACAATGCTATAAACTTATCGTTGGCACAACTCGGTTTTCTTGATCTTAGGATCTTGAATCACCAATTATTAATGGGTTGGAACCTTCCCAAAATACGTCAAAACCGTCATAGGAATGTGGCATGTTAACACTGTCGGAGGACTAGGAAAACCAGAGTCATCTCGTTGTGGCGATGTGCATAAATAGTGCGTGGGCTCAATGGTTGTACAGGACCTAGCCCACTGTTCCATGAATGCCACTGGTATTCCCCCACGTTGTCACACAGATTATGTGTTGCATTCCCATCCCACAATGCGTTGGTTATTACTCTTTGAGGTTTAGTAGTTATGTTTGGTGTACGAGTTTTAGGGGATAGGCATTGGAAACACATGTAATGTTTTTTTTTAAAGAATTCCTTATGACTTGGCGGGACCGATCCCCAGTCCTGTCACCGATAGTCCGTTGGACGCTGACTTGCGGTCGACGTCTGCTGCCAGTTCCCGTCCCGCCACGTCTTCAGACTGTCCCATTGCAGCTTCGGACACGTCGAAGTTTCTTGGCTCTTGACCCTGGTAACGTCCTGGTCCCCCTGTGGCTCATCGGTCTATTAATCCTGAGATTAGTTCGCCCCGTCGCTCTTGTACAGTAAAAATAATATGGCTCAGGCATGGCTACAGTAGCCCCTTCCCTGTCCAACTCCCACTTCCACACCCAATCAGCAAATCTGTCACACGCTTACGGCGTTCTCCCCCATTCAGTCTAAACTCTCTCTCGTCATGGCCCAGCGCTACTTAGAGCTACCCGGGTTGTTTCTTGAAGGTGCGACAGTCTGTCATGGGAAAACATGAACTGCACGTAAGCGCGCGCTTGACGTGTTTGGGCGACACGTTGGTGAGTCGAGTCGCAGGGCGCCGTGATGCGTACGTTCGTGTTTTGTGCTTCCGTTTCCAAGATTTTCGTGCATGACCAACTGAGCCTCTGTTTTGTCGTCGTGGGAAAACACCCCGCCAGATTATGCATTCTGAGTCTACGTGTGTGCTGTCTTCTCACGACTTGTGGACCCTACCTTAACTGATCCCCAGAAAGTCCACTGGATTGCTTATACTAGGCATCGTGGGTATTTTCGAGCCACTGTCTTTAAGATAAATGTTTAACCATGCACGCAAGGGCGACATTAAATTTACACTGCCCAGGATTATCTTAACGGTCAAAGCGTGTAAAAAAAGCGAGGAGCCACGTATATTGGAATCGCGTCGAGCCAGGCGCTGCGAAACATCCGACTGCCTCCCGCCCGTCGACTCTGGCAGCCTTGTTTCACGCCACCCCTTCCCCCCCCTATATAAGCACTCACATGTCTCCCATGACATCATAGCCCCACCAATCAACAGCAAAACCTTTTTTCCCACCTACCCCTACAGCCTCGACATGGGTGACTTCGTCCATCATCCCGCTCGTGACTCAAGCCCTGCCAACGACCTCGGTGCAACCGTACTGCAGGATACTCCCAAGACAGCCGAAGAACAGCGCTTTCACGAGGAAGTTACTCCGGAGAAGACCGCGCAGGTCGTAATCCAGTACCGTCGGAAGCACCCGTCAGGAGCATGCGGCGGCGCTGATGCCCAAGGGGACTCGTCTTCTGAGAGCGAGGGAAGCTCTGACGATGACGTGCAGCCATACGCCGCATCTGGTGGTGTGTCTTCTCCGAAGCCACGTAGGCGGAAAACGAAACGGTTGTCGGAGTGTCAGCCGAAGCCAACAACCAAGAAAGGTTAGTCAGCTGGTATACATGCAGTGTGTTTCGTCCTGCACCCCTGCATATATTCCTTAGGCACAGCTGTCGTCACGTTTTGCTACCAATTTTCACCGGCTCCAAACCACTGCGACGATCTGTGTTGCTTTCTCTTGCTAGGTGTTCCCGCAGCTAAGCTACCTTGTAATGGTGGCATTTCTGCAGCAGGTGCACCCAAGGTGGATGATGGCGGAGATACTGTTGAGACGAAGGACGGTGCATCGAACAAGCCCAGGGACCAGACGAACCTTGCAGCGGCGAATAAGGGTGTACTTCAGGGTGAACTTGCCGCTGGGGACGTCTTGCGCCGTAACGAGAAGGGGAACAATGAGCCCACAACGAAGCGCCAGCGTAGGGGGCAGCGTGGTAAGCACATGAAGTACACTCAGGCGAAATCCGAGAGCGAGAGTAGTTCTGAGGAGGATTCTGGCGAATCTTCAGGCAGCGAGGAGGTTTATGAGGAATACGTGGACGAGAGTGAGGAGGTCGAGCTCGAGCCTGAGAGTGATGATGAGGGAAGACAGGTTAGTCGGCGGGGTGGGGTGAGTCGTAGGCACGGCGGCAAGCACAGTAACCGTGCGGATGGTAAAAAGAAGAGAAGCGGGAAGGGGCATAACAGGGGTAGCTCCCGTGACCATGCGCATGCAAGGCGTGTAGACCGTAAGGAGAGGTTGCGGGTGTCCATGGACCGTCCACCGCTGAGGCATGAAACCGGTTTTTACAACGAGATGAGAGCTCTTGAGACGGCGAATGACGGTACACTGGAGGAGCGTAAGGAGAGGTATAGGTTGAAACGCGCAGCTCAAGATGACCCTTATGCAGCGCTCGCTTCACCCTCTACTGCCGATGGTCGTTTGTCGAGGGGCCACACGCGTGTGGCTGAGGATGGGGGAAGACGGGTGTTGGAGGTGCAGGAGGCGAAGAGGTGGGATGGCACGGCATGTCCTCAGAGGGGGGCGGGGGCGTTCTCTGGTGGCGCGCACATGAACACGAGTGCGAAGGGGTACGACCGCGAACACAGACCTTGGCTAGCTGGCAGCAACCACGGGGCTGCCGAAACTGGGGAGCATGGCGTCTGGGCAAATGCAGCTGGAGACTATGCTGGCCAGAATGACGAAGCAGCCCACCAAGGCCCTGGTAGCAGTCCTGCTGGTGTAGCCTCGCTGCAGCCCCAGTCCAAACCCTCCTCAGCAGCTGACAAGGAGGGCAACCGAAGCCGTCTTGGTGCCCACAACTTTGGCACTAGTGATGCTCTTGGTTGTGATGCATCGGTAGGCGATGCGGATGGCCATGATAGCGTGACCATTCAGCAGTTGTTCCGTGCTTTGCAGGACGCCAAAAAGCAAATTGCAGAGCTGAAGTCGCGCAAGGGGTCAGCAACGGACAACGGGGGACCTCGTGCACAGGTTCCTCCCTTGGCGGAAATGTCCAGTGGTCCTCCTTCACGGGAGGCTTCGGCCGGTTTCGTTGCTGAGAGTGGGGTCCAGGGTGAACCCATTGTACGCAAGCATGGGATGCCCACCTCTGATAACATGAAGGTAAGGTCCCCCATGCATGGTCAAAACTCTGCCGTGTTGTTCACTGGCCTGATTTCAAGCACCCGTTGTGTCTCGTTACGCCTCAGTTTCATCATTTCAATTTATTTTTTTAATGGTCCCATATGCCTACTTCCTGCACATCCATCAGCTCTGCATTTCCCTCAGCCTTGAATTTCCCTCAGCCCTGCATTTTCCTCAGCCCTACATTTCCATAAGCTCTGCATTTCCCTTAGCTATGCATTTCCCTCAGCTCTGCACTCCCCTCAGCCTTGAATTTCCGTCAGCCCTGCATTTTCCTCTGCCCTCCATTTTCCTCAGCCCTACATTTCCATAAGCTCTGCATTTCCCTTTGCTATGCATTTCCCTCAGCTCTGCACTTCCCTCAGCCTTGAATTTCCCTCAGCTCTGCACTTCCCTCAGCCTAGAACTTCCCTCAGCTCTGCACTTCCCTCAGCCTTGCTTTTTCCTCAGCCATGCATTTCCCTCATCACTGCATTTCCCTCGGCTCTGCATTTCCCTAAGCCCATCCTTCATCATAGCAGTTCCCTTATCCCTGCATTTCCCTCGGCTATGCACTTCCCTCAGCTCTGCACTTCCCGCAGCCCTGCATTTCCATAAGCTCTGCATTACCCTTTGCTCTGCGTTTCCCTCAGCTCTGGACTTCCCTAGAGCCCTGCATCTCTCCCAGGTCTGCATTTTCCCAGCTTTGCATTCCCCCCAGCTCTGCATTTCACTCAGTCCTGCCTTGCCCCCTGCATTGCTTTACCCTCAACTCTGCGCCACCTTCAGCTCTGCATTTCCCCCGGCTCTGCTTTTCGCTCGGCCGCATTTCCCCCAGCTCTGCGTTCCCCCAAGACTTTCTTTTCCCAGAGCTCCTCACTGCGTTGATTACTTGTTGTTTTCTGTCGCTACTTTCACTCCATCATTGTTCTGTCTTGTCACACATTCCCCCCTTGTCATCCCTCCCCTCTCCACCCTCTTCTCCACCCCCAACCCACCACCCGCCCACTTCCCACTCTCCCACTCCCTCTCCTCTCCCCTATACAGTTCCACTTTGATGTCTCCAGGGACCGCCTCTGCATGGACGCCCCGGATGCTGCCCTCAACTTCTACCCCACGCATGACTTGCGTGAGCAAGTTCTGCATGGGGTAATTTCCGAGGGTTACATAGTTTCCTTCATCCAGTTTAAGGAGACAATGAAGGACCAGAAGCTCGTCGACCGTTTCAAGCGTGCGTATACACAGTGGAAGAACGAGCGAGCATTTCAGATCAAGCGCTCGGTGCTCGAATCCTTCGGAGTTCCTGTGGAGGGTCTGCGAGCCGCGGAAATCTACTTGGAAGTCGGGCTCAAGGCTGACCTGTGGGCTGACTTCTCACCAAGTAAGGGTTACATGCTTTAACAATAGTGTTTTGAATTTGAAGGCTGCTCTAGCAACTGTGCCCCCCCTCTCCCAACCTTGTGTGCAGAGGCAAACCAACCCCTTAGCACTTGGGGCTTGGATGAGGAGAGCGGCATGTCATTCGCCAACAAGCGCTTCTGGGATGCTGCATGGGCAGCGTTCCGTGACTACTCCAGTGATGGCAAGCTCTGTTTGAAGGCTTACCACATTGCGTGGATTATCATGGTGGTGAGTATCAGCCAGTAGATATTGTGAACGCCCGCCTCTTAATGTTTCCAGGGCTTTGCCACTACAGACTCTGTTAGTGTCCAAAACCCTTTCCACCGCCCCCTGTCTCCCACCTCAGGCCATGTGATCCATTTCATTGGACGCCGATCAAGAGGGGCGGATATGGGAGGGTTTGTTCTTGCTGCTGAGTTGCTATCATCATGTGGTGACCAAAAGTTGTGTCATCCCCCCCTGCCATTCCACCCCATGTCTTACAGGTGGACTATGGCCTGTCCAAGGTAAAGAAGTCCACCATGAATCTCTCAAACTCCCACCGAAAGAACACGAGGTGGGTGACGAGTGTGCGGGAAGTGGTGCGGAGGGTGGTGCGAGACCACTTTACCCGTCACAATCCTATCTACTGTTCCAAAATGAGGGGTTTCCAGTGGGGGGATTGGGGGCTTTACGTCCATGAATCTGGATTTGAGGAGTACCGGGGAGCTGCCCTAAACCCTACCAGCTGTGACTAAGACTGGAGCTGCCAGGAAGCAGTGACTCCAGGAGGGCTAGGAAGGCTAGCAGTGACTAAAGGCAGGGCAGAGAAGGCAGGGCAGAGAAGGCAGGGCAGAGAAGGCAGGGCAGAGAAGGCAGGGCAGAGAAGGCAGGGCAGAGAAGGCAGGGCAGAGAAGGCAGGGCAGAGAAGGCAGGGCAGAGAAGGCAGGGCAGAGAAGGCAGGGCAGAGAAGGCAGGGCAGAAAAGCAGGGCAGAGAAGGCAGGGCAGAGAAGGCAGGGCAGAGAAGGCAGGGCAGAGAAGGCAGGGCAGAGAAGGCAGGGCAGAGAAGGCAGGGCAGAGAAGGCAGGGCAGAGAAGGCAGGGCAGAGAAGGCAGGGCAGAGAAGGCAGGGCAGAGAAGGCAGGGCAGAGAAGGCAGGGCAGAGAAGGCAGGGCAGAGGAGGCAGGGCAGAGAAGGCAGGGCAGAGAAGGCAGGGCAGAGAAGGCAGGGCAGAGAAGGCTTGGCAGAGAAGACAGGGCAGAGGAGGAGAGGAGGCAAGCGAGCGAAGGCATGGTGGAGGAGGCAGTAGTCAATGGCACCATCAGGAGGGCAGTCCAGAAAGCAGTCAGAGATCAGTCAACATAGCAGTCAGAGATCAGTCAAGGGAGCAGTAAGAGATCAGTCAGGGGAGCAGTGAAGGGAGCAGTCAGAGGACCAGTGAAGGGAGCAGTCATAGGACCAGTGAAGGGAGCAGTCAAGGGAGCAGTGAAGGGATCAGTCAGGGGAGCACTGAACGGACCACTCAGGGGAGCAGTCAGGGGAGCAGTCAAGGGGCCAACCAAGGGGTCAGGCAAGATATCAGGAAGGGGAGCAGGCACAGGGTGAGGCAAAGGAAGGCATTGATTGAGCCAAAGGGTGAGCCAAGAGGCACGGCAGTGGGCAAGGGAGGAGGCACGGCAGTGGGCAAGGGAGGAGGCACGGCAGTGGGCAAGGGAGGAGGCACGGCAGTGGGCAAGGGAGGAGGCACGGCAGTGGGCAAGGGAGGAGGCATGGCCGTGGGCAAGGGAGGAGGCACGGCAGTGGGCAAGGGAGGAGGCACGGCAGTGGGCAAGGGAGGAGGCACGGCAGTGGGCAAGGGAGGAGGCACGGCAGTGGGCAAGGGAGGAGGCACGGCAGTGGGCAAGGGAGGAGGCACGGCAGTGGGCAAGGGAGGAGGCACGGCAGTGGGCAAGGGAGGAGGCACGGCAGTGGGCAAGGGAGGAGGCATGGCCGTGGGCAAGGGAGGAGGCACGGCAGTGGGCAAGGGAGGAGGCACGGCAGTGGGCAAGGGAGGAGGCACGGCAGTGGGCAAGGGAGGAGGCACGGCAGTGGGCAAGGGAGGAGGCACGGCAGTGGGCAAGGGAGGAGGCACGGCAGTGGGCAAGGGAGGAGGCACGGCAGTGGGCAAGGGAGGAGGCACGGCAGTGGGCAAGGGAGGAGGCATGGCAGTGGGCAAGGGAGGAGGCATGGCCGTGGGCAAGGGAGGAGGCACGGCAGTGGGCAAGGGAGGAGGCACGGCAGTGGGCAAGGGAGGAGGCACGGCAGTGGGCAAGGGAGGAGGCATGGCAGTGGGCAAGGGAGGAGGCACGGCAGTGGGCAAGGGAGGAGGCACGGCAGTGGGCGAGGGAGGAGGCACGGCAGTGGGCAAGGGAGGAGGCACGGCAGTGGGCAAGGGAGGAGGCACGGCAGTGGGCGAGGGAGGAGGCACGGCAGTGGGCAAGGGAGGAGGCACGGCAGTGGGCAAGGGAGGAGGCACGGCAGTGGGCAAGGGAGGAGGCATGGCCGTGGGCAAGGGAGGAGGCACGGCAGTGGGCAAGGGAGGAGGCACGGCAGTGGGCAAGGGAGGAGGCACGGCAGTGGGCAAGGGAGGAGGCACGGCAGTGGGCAAGGGAGGAGGCACGGCAGTGGGCAAGGGAGAAGGCACGGCAGTGGGCAAGGGAGGAGGCACGGCAGTGGGCAAGGGAGGAGGCACGGCAGTGGGCGAGGGAGGAGGCACGGCAGTGGGCAAGGGAGGAGGCACGGCAGTGGGCAAGGGAGGAGGCACGGCAGTGGGCAAGGGAGGAGGCATGGCGGTGGGCAAGGGAGGAGGAATGGCGGTGGGCAAGGGAGGAGGCATGGCGGTGGGCAAGGGAGGAGGCATGGCCGTGGGCAAGGGAGGAGGCACGGCAGTGGGCAAGGGAGGAGGCACGGCAGTGGGCAAGGGAGGAGGCACGGCAGTGGGCAAGGGAGGAGGCACGGCAGTGGGCAAGGGAGGAGGCACGGCAGTGGGCAAGGGAGGAGGCACGGCAGTGGGCAAGGGAGAAGGCACGGCAGTGGGCAAGGGAGGAGGCACGGCAGTGGGCAAGGGAGGAGGCACGGCAGTGGGCGAGGGAGGAGGCACGGCAGTGGGCAAGGGAGGAGGCACGGCAGTGGGCAAGGGAGGAGTATCGTACAGCAGCAGCAACCTAGGGCGGAGCCTATAAAGCAGCCTGGAGAGGAGCCTAGAGTAGTATCCTAGATAGGAGCCTGGAGCAGAGCCTAGAGCAGCAGCCTAAAATTGCAGCAGCCATCAAAGGCCACTGGAATCATGATTGGTGTCAGTGGTGAAATCAAAGGGCATACTTTGGCCCTGGAGCAGATTGGGGAGGAGGAAGGCTAGACTACGAGGGCTGAGACTGAGTGCATATTAATGTTGCATTTAAACTTGTCATTGTAATATTAAGCTGTCATTGAACCTGAGTGTAGCTCCATTATATTATCCAGGGTTCTGTTCAACACCAATGGTTCCTAAACAAAACCAGCACACCCTCAAACCCACTCAAGGAGTTGTGGAAAATACATGGAAAAAACCAACAAGAGACATGATCATTCCAAGAAGGCTAAAGAAATCACCTATTCAAACCCGAATAGCCTTTGGGAAAAGCCAAGGTGGAGTTTGGGAGTATCTTCTTCATAAGTCTTCTGGAACGTGCTGTTGATCCTGAAATCATATGACGCTTCATTCAGAAAAAGACTTAGACTTTCTCCTAAAAGAGTTTCCAACCCAACATTTTAAAACCGTACGGAAAAACTCCAGATTGGCTTCATTTGGCAGTTTTGTGGATGATTGTTTTTTGTGATGCGGGAGCATGGGAGCAGGGGAGCATGGGAGCATGGGAGCATGGGAGCAGGGGAGCAAGGGAGCAGGGGAGCAGGGGAGCATGGGAGCATGGGAGCATGGGAGCATGGGAGCAGGGGAGCAAGGGAGCAGGGGAGCAGGGGAGCATGGGAGCATGGGAGCATGCGGCGGAGCATGGGAGCATGGGAGAATGGGAGCATGGGAGCATGGGAGCATGGGAGCATGGGAGCATGGGAGCATGGGAGCAGGGGAGCAAGGGAGCAGGGGAGCATGGGAGCATGGGAGCATGGGAGCATGGGAGCATGGGGTGCATGGGAGCACGGGAGCACGGGAGCATGGGAGCATGGGTGCATGGGAGAAGTATGAGGAGCACGCAAGCATGGGAGCATGGGAGCACGGGAGCATGGGAGCCTGGGAGCATGGGAGAATGGGAGCATGGGATCATGGGAGCAGGGAAGCAAGGGAGCAGGGGAGCAGGGGAGCATGGGAGCATGGGAGCATGGGAGCATGGGAGCATGGGGAGCATTGACAGCATGGAGAGCCCGAGAGCATGGGGAGCATGGGAGCATGGGAGCATGGGACCACGGGAGCATGGGAGCAGGGGAGCATGAGACCATGGGAGCAGGGGAGCATGGGAGCATGGGAGCATGGGAGCATGAGACCATGGAGCAGGGGAGCATGGGAGCATGGGAGCATGGGAGCATGGGAGCATTGACAGCATGGAGAGCCCGAGAGCATGGGGAGCATGGGAGCATTGACAGCATGGAGAGCCCGAGAGCATGGGAGCATGGGAGCAGGGGAGCAAGGGAGCAGGGGAGCAGGGGAGCAGGGGAGCAGGGGAGCATGGGAGCATGGGGGCATGGGGAGCATGGGAGAATGGGAGAATGGGAGCATGGGAGCATGGGAGCATGGGAGAAGTATGGGGAGCACGCAAGCATGGGAGCATGGGAGCACGGGAGCATGGGAGCCTGGGAGCATGGGAGAATGGGAGCATGGGATCATGGGAGCAGGGGATCAAGGGAGCAGGGGAGCATGGGGAGCATGGGAGCATGGGAGCATGGGAAAAGTATGGGGAGCACGCAAGCATGGGAGCATGGGAGCACGGGAGCATGGGAGCCTGGGAGCATGGGAGAATGGGAGCATGGGATCATGGGAGCAGGGGAGCATGGGAGCATGGGAGCATGGGAGCATGTGAGCATGGGAGCATGGGAGCAGGGGAGCAAGGGAGCAGGGGAGCAGGGGAGCATGGGAGCATGGGAGCATGGGAGCAGGGGAGCAAGGGAGCAGGGGAGCAGGGGAGCATGGGAGCATGGGAGCATGGGAGCATGGGGAGCATGGGAGCATTGACAGCATGGAGAGCCCGAGAGCATGGGAGCATGCTCGCAAGGGAGCATGCTCGCAAGGGAGCATGCTCGCAAGGGAGCATGCTCGCAAGGGAGCATGGGAGCAGGGGAGCAGGGGAGCATGGGAGCATTGACAGCATGGAGAGCCCGAGAGCATGGGGAGCATGGGAGCATGGGATCAGGGGAGCATAGGAGCATGGGAGCATGGTGCTGCATGCGAGCATGCGTTGCATGGGAGCTTGGGAGCACGGGAGCATGGGAGCATGGGTGCATGGGAGAAGTATGGGGAGCACGCAAGCAGGGGAGCATGGGAGCACGGGAGCATGGGAGCCTGGGAGCATGGGAGAACGGGAGCATTGACAGCATGGAGAGCCCGAGAGAATGGAGAGCATGGGAGCATGGGAGCATGGGAGCATGGGAGCATGGGAGCATGGGAGCATGGGATCATTGACAGCATGGAGAGCCCGAGAGTATGGGGAGCATGGGAGCATGGGAGCATGGGAGCAGGGGAGCATGGGAGCATGGGAGCATTGACAGTATGGAGAGCCCGAGAGCATGGGGTGCATGGGAGCATGGGAGCATTGACAGCATGGAGAGCCCGAGAGCATGGGAGCATGGGAGCATGGGAGCATGGTGCTGCATGCGAGCATGGGGTGCATGGGAGCTTAGGAGCACGGGAGCATGGGAGCATGGGTGCATGGGAGGAGTATGGGGAGCACGGGAGCATGGGAGCATTGGTAGCATGCGAGCAGAAGAGCATGGGAGTGTGACAGGAGGGGGAGTGGGGGAAGAATTGATGGGGGTATGGGGTTGACCCAGGGGTGAACCAGCTCGGGACTGTTGGGGGGAAGGAGAGAGTGTCTGTATGGGGAAGGGGAGGAGACTGCACTCAGCAAGGAGGAGACCAGAGTGGGAGAGGAGGATGACAGCAAGGGGAAAGGAGCGTAACAGGAGGGGGAGCGGTGGGGGGATTGGGAGACAGGTGGCAAAAAGGAGGGTCGCTGGAGGCGGAATGGGGGGTGGGATGAGGGATGGAGGATGGCCGTATGGGGATTGGAGGAAGCCTGTATGGGGAGCGGTGTGGTCATGTGTTGGGGTTTAGGGTGCTACTTGCATCGTGTGGTGTAAACAAAAGCCATGACATTAGCTGCAGTTTACAAACAATCATATACCATACATGTAACATGGAAATGGCATGAATAATGATGTTAGTCTGCTTTTGCCATATTCTAGAGGCCCCCCAACCATGAGCTAGCAGCACCCCCATGCAGAAATGCACCCTCAACTAAAACCCATAAAAAAAGGACACATGAAACTGCTGGGATTACCCATTGCCTGCACAACAGACACATGAAACTACCACACACATTGCGTGCCCTGCCTTGGCAGCGAAGCGAAGTCAACATGGTAGAGTCAGTACAAACAGATGCAACCTATCCATCCGCCCCACGCCATGAGCCATGAGAGTGGCCCCATGATACACGCGATGCGAAGCCCCCCGCACCCATGTCTATGGGTTGTGCGCTCAACCGCCTGCAAGATCCCTTGAACCATGGTGTTTGCAATGGCCAGCAACTCAAAAGCGGTCAGCTGGCAGAAACCGACCCCCTTCCGATTTCCTATGCCACCGCTGGAAACCTGCCACAAGGACACCAAGCAAAGTCGCCCGGATCAGCCATAAGGACCCTCCAGCATGGGCAACCCCAGCAAGAAGCCAAGGGGAGAGAGGCGGCCGCAGTTTTTCACCTCTTCGCTTTCCCCCTCACAATTTCCCCCCTATCTGCTCATCCCCTCCCTGGTCTCAACCTCCTAGTTTACCCACTCTCACCTTTTCGACCCCTGCTCACCTCTAAGGTCACCTCCTCTCAGCAAGGCCCTGGGCAGTTTTCCCCCACCTAAACTTTGCCCATCCTAAGGCTACCCTCTCCAAGCTTACCCCTACTCACCGTTCCCCCACTCAGCGGACCCTGCCTCAGCTTTCCCCCACACATCTTCCCCCCTCACAGCTTTCCCCCTCACATCTTTCCCCCTCACAGCTTTCCCCCTCACAGCTTTCCCCCTCACAGCTTTCCCCCACACAGCTTTTCCCCTCACAGCTTTCCCCCACACAGCTTTCCCCCTCACAGCTTTCCCCCTCACAGCTTTCCCCCTCACAGCTTTCCCCCTCACAGCTTTCCCCCTCACATCTTCCCCCCTCACAGCTTTCCTCCACAAAGCTTTCCACCTCTCAGCTGTCCTCCACTCCGCTTACCCCCGCTCCTTTTGGCCCCTCACAGGTATCCCCCCTCTCAGCTTTCACCCACGCTGCCATCCCCCTCACAGCCCTCCCCCCCTTGACTACCCCCTCCCAGCTTTTCCCCTCTATGCTTTGTCCCACTCTGCACGCCCAATGAGCAGAAAAACGCAGGGTTTAGGGTTGCTTACCAACTGAAACCTAGTCAAGATTTGAAACAGCCATGACGGTGCAGCAGCGGCCCGGGGGCATCACGCCGTTCAGCGAAACTCGGTTGCCCCTGTGCATGAGCAGGGAGGGGTATGGTATAGAAGGAGGGCACGGTGCTTGGGGTAGGGAGCGGTGTAGAACCTCCCAACATTGGAAAGGTTGGGAGCAAGGGAGGCACTAGTAAGCGAGGCGGAATGCGCAAGGGTCAAAGGAGTGGCGATGCGGCCTAAAACTCCTCCATCGTGCAATAACTAGAAAACAGTTAACCGACCAGTTAGGCGGCGTCGGGCTGGAGCATCTCTCCGGGTGGGCGTTGGGCTGCCAACCCCAGTGATACTGCTGCCACATCCGGGGGTGTCACTGCAGCCGGCATTGAAACGCAGCGTGAGATCTCTCAAAGGCGTTGAGTCACCGGTGGCGGCTGGACCAGCAATGGTGTGTGGGCGCACCACCCGCTCGTTCTCGTGGAGACTGTTATCCCCGGCAGCCTCATCTCCGGCCGCCTCCACCATGTCATCGGCCTCCTCCGGGTCCTCCTCACCCGCCCGCAGCCACTGATGCATGATATCGTCTACCCAAGACCAATCCATTGGTCCCAAGATCCGAACCGTGGAGCCGCGCTGAACCCTTGTAGCCCGCCTCACACATGTGTGATACCCCTTCACGAGGCGGTCCATACAACTGTTCCAGTGCAAAACCGCCAAAGCAACTCGGGCTTCCATACTGCCACGAAACCGCAACCGCTTCGGCGCATACTTGCACACCATCGAATGAAAAGATTCGTTGAGTGAGCTGTTCGCTCCACGGATGAAAGGCGCTGCCTGCGCCTGCCCTAAACGCTTCTCTAACCATGCACACACCGCCTTGTGTGTCACTGACCCCTTAGCATAAATAGCACTCTCCTCACCCCATCCCTCCGAAATACAGCGAGGCGGGGTTGTTCCCGGGCGTTGGCAGCGGGCATGATCCCCCGCCCAATGATCCGGTGCACAGCCCATCTCCTCTAACACCTCCACCGGGGTCATGGGTGTGCCGTTTGCCACACTTGCAGCACATCGCAGAATGACATGCCTGAAATGTGTACTAAGGCGCTGCGCTACGGTGAACTCGAGAAACTTTGCACTATGCCTTTCATCGGCTTGTCCCGCACCACACTCCGAATTGGGGGTCCGTTTCTTTGCACCGCGCGCTAACCATCGCCGTTTCTTCGTGTTGTCCGTGGCAGCACGATCACAAGCAGTGCCTGCACAACCATAACATTCGGACATTGTAAAAATACGACAAGCAGCAAACCTACAAAAGCTAAACAGGGGGTGGTGTCACGATGCAAGATTGGCTACCTGGAGACGCGGTCAGTTCCGACACCAACCCGAAGCGATTGCCCATGAAATCGCGCTCTTCTCGACCACCACTGCAAGCGACAGCAACCACAAGTGAGGCTTCGGATGACCGGCGGAAACCTCGCCGCGGGTGGATGTCATAGCTCCACAGCTCAGCCATGTCCGCCCAATGCACGTCCACCGACACCAGACCCTCGGGTGCCTCCTCAACACACCCCCCCTCCAACCGCGGTCCCACTAGTGCAGCGCGACCAATGTTGTCCCGTATGGAGTGTATCACCGAGAACAGCACTGGCACCTCCATCATCTCGGTGTCTGCACCGTCCTCCCCTTCGATCTCCTGTGTTGCCCCTCCCCTCGCTCCCTCCTCGCCTCGTGCGCTTACCACTTGGCGCAGCTCGGGATGCATGTATTTTGTATCCATGGGCTTCACTAAACAATATTCGATATTCAGCACTGTGCACACCGCTGCAATCAGCCCGTCCCTACCAACCGCCCCGGCGACCTTGTCAGGTGCTTTATTCTGCAGCCATGCACGGAGTTTGGTCACCGTATGCGCGTGCAGATCCTCCTCAACCTTGGCGTCCGCGATTGCAACCACTAGTCTCAGCACGTCCTGCACCTCATTCTCAAAACACTTCTGCACCGACCGCCGCTTATGCCACCAATCGACCTGGTGCGGAACCCCTCTCTCAGCTGCGGCTGTTCGAAAAGTCCCACTTTCATCAGTCACAATACCCTCCATCTCAAGCCCGGTCTCTGCAAGAAAATTCATACCGTTGTTGAAGGCAATACCCTCCAACTTGGGGGAAGAAGGGTCGTGCTTCCATTCTTTTGTGTTTTCGACATGGAGTATCTTCCGATAGTCCGGATGCAAAAACGACACGGTGCACCACTCCGCCTCCCGCGCCTGGGACCATCTCCCATTGACACTGATGAACTCCACGCCTCCCTTGCGCTGCGACAGATTTTCACGCACTGCAGCCATCGACTTGCCAGCAGCTTCGAGGATTGCATTCCATAAGCCCCCTTTCCCCCGTAGTAGGCGATAGAAGGTTGTTTTCCCCGAGCTCCGTAACCCAAGGTTTCGACATACCTCCCACATGACCTGATACCCCTGCCCGGCAAGGGCAAAAGCCCAGACGAACCTATACATGAGCGAGGATGTACGTGGGCCAGGCTTTTTTGTGGTGGTCACGTGTTCCTTCTTCGGACTGGACCATATTTCCTTGCTTTTTGCACTTATCACATGCCAGTACCAACCCATGCATGCCCATGCATCATTCCATGAGATCAAAGTCATGGTGCCCATACATGCCTCATTCAGGCAATGCAATCGCAGGGTGGCAAGCTCTGTGAGCATGTGCTTCGCCTCCATTAGACATACACGGTTTACCGGGACATCGTTAATGGATGGGCTTGCTGACCATCCCCTGGGAACCGGCACAGCCCTTGCTCGCTTAGATGGTTTGGTTGAGCCAGACCTACAGAACAGGGGCAGGAGAGACATGTTGGCTGAACCTACGGAAAGCACACTTCTTCTATCCATGAAGTACAGAAACCAACCAGAATTCTTACAGATCGGACAATCGCGTCGCATTATCAACAGCCCCGCATGTACGGCTGGCAGGGCTAGCCGGCGCCAACGTTGCGGGCTGCGTTCCCGGGTTGACGGAAGCCCCGGCACAGGGAGGCAAGCTCTGCTCTTTGGTGCCTACCACCCATGCAAGGGTTGGTTTGGATGAGGGTTAGTTTTACGAGGGAAGCTACCATGTGGTACGACTCGGTTTCCGCCCCCTTCGTTGTGTGGAGGCTTTGTTCGCGCACCAGGGAAGCTACCATTATACCCCTTTGTTGGTCTGCAACCCCTACCCCCGCTCACCTTTTTCACATTGCTTCTCAAACTTCTTCCCTCTCCGGGCCCCGCCCCATCCGCATCCATGCACAGGCCGTAGTTTACCCTTCGTGCCCTCTTCGTAGGCAGGGAAGTTATAGGTCAGCCCATTCAACTGGCGGTCCGTCTGGCCCATGATGCTGGTTGCTGAGTCCGGCCCGTGCCCAGCACGAGTGTCAAACTCCTTTCCATATGCCTCTAGGTGCTGCTCCGCCTTGGCTCGAGCATCACCTCCATGCACACCTAGGTGGATCAACGGGCACGGGCAGTGGATGGGATTTTAGAGGGGCATGGACGCACAAGCTTGGCTGGCAAACCCGCATGAAAGGACATCCCATACTTACCTGCATTGGAGCCTGCACGCATTAGCCGCTGGTGCGCCTTCTCGGAGTTCATCATATAGTAGTAGAGCATGTCCGCCATTGTCGCCTTCTTTGCCCCCCGCATGAGCGCCAACAGTCCGCCCAGCT